TAGAAGTTGGGGAGTGGAGGTGCCATCTCAGGCGTGTTACCATATCTAGGTAGCAGTGAGTGTCCCAGGCCCTTGGGATTAAATTTGGGAGTCTGGGCTCCTCAACCTGTCAGTCTCCCAAACTTGCATCTTCTGCATTTGTCCCTGTAGCTACTTTCACCTACCAGATAACTGGCTTTTGTGCCCATTTGGTGTCTGTAGGGAAGGCCCTCCCTACTGAGGTTAACATGGAGCCCTGTGCCCTAGCGTACTCAGAGCACAGGAGCTGACCACTATCTGAGGCCTCATCCTTTCTTCCCTTTGATCCTCTTATCTACCTTACAGATAAGCCAAAAGAAAAAAAAATCACTAATCTCATGAGCTCTCAGTGTTGTCCATAGATGTAAGTGTTTCCAGTAGACTCTACCTGGCTCTGGGAAACCTTGTTTGAATGCTTCCTTCTCACTGGAAAGTCTGCTCCTCCCATGATAGCCAGTCTTGTGTTTCTGGGTGGGCATGCTCCACTGTTGTCGGCCATTTAGGTCACTGCTCATTTTCCCAATTGCCTGCTAAGGCTGCAGTGTATGTTCCTGGAGCTGGGTGGTATCCCTAACTACCACAGTTCTGAGGAATCATTTTAACCAAGGTGCAGTTAAGCAAGGAGGAAGCCTGGTGAGGATGGTCAGGAGGGCTTTAGAGGGGAAAGGGGATGTGATGTGCTGCTGGAGTGGGGAAAAAGGTGTTTTAGGCAGAGGAGCTCAGCATGGCCTGGGGTGGATGAGGACTGAAGAAGTGGAAAAGGGGACATGGTACAGGGGAGAGGGGCAGGCCATAGACCCCTGCTCGGGACTGTCATCAGGTTTTGATGGAGTCCAGCCGAAGCTCCTTGCTGTAGCCCACAAAACCCCATCTGTAACCCTCATCATCATCTCTCCCGAGCCATTTACTTGAGTCTTGCCACACCCTCAGCCTCTGGCTTGGCTTGGTGCTCCTGGACCATGCAAGCTCAACCCCACTTGAGGTTTCATACCTCCTCCCTCACCACTCTGCCCCCAAATCTTAGCAGATGCCCAATGCTTGTCATTCAGGTCACGGGTCGAGATATTATCTCCTCCTTTTACTAATTCATTCACTCAACAAGTAAGAGAGTGCTCACTGTGTGCTCTGGATGCAGCAGTGAAAAAAGGACAAACATCACTGAATAAGAGTATGAAAGCAGTCAGGCATGGCGGTGCATGCCTGTAAGCCCAGCACTCAGGAGGTGGAGGCAGGAGGATCTCCAGTTCAAGGCCAATTTGGGCTACATAGCCCAATAAATAAGAAAACTGCTTCCTGTGGAGGGTTCCCTAGGTAGTCAGCAGGATTAAAAAGTAAAGTCTTGAGTGTGCTCCATCAAGGTCTGAACAGAAAAACAAGGAGGGGAGGGAGGAGAAAGAGGAGAGAGTGTCAGAGAGGTTTCAGTGAGGGACAGTGGTGGGGGAGGAGCATTGAGCAGAGAGGAGAGGGGAGCAAATGCACAGGCCCCGATGAAGGGTGGTCATTGCAGCCTCCCCACCCTCTGCCAAACCCTGGCCACTCAATCTCAGCATCTTCCTTTATTTTCTCCATTGCTCTGGTCTCTGTCAGAAATCATCCTGTTGGCTGATTCGTGTTCTTGAGAAGCACCTGCTCCTGCCCTGTCACTAGCATCCCTCATCCCAGGACAGGACCTGCTTGGTGGCAATTGCTGTGCCAAGCACTCAGCATTTGGTCCCACTTTTCCTCCTAGAAAAAGCCTGTGTTGGGGGAGTACCATCCTCTTCACTGCTGAGCTATGTCGGGGACCCCCAAGCTTGGCACTTGGTCCCATGATAGTGCTTTTTCTCTGTCTCCCAGGAGTGGGCTGAGCAGGCAGTGCTGGGCCTGCCTTCCTGAGCTTCTCCACAGAGAACTTGCTTGTTTAGGGTAGGTGGCCCTGGGGAGGAGGTGCCTAAAGTGAATCCAGCCAGGCCCAGACCTGTCCTCCCACCCCCAAAAGTGGTGGTGCATTTTCATTTTTATTCCTCAGCCTGGATAGTTACCCCTGTATTGATTGGGAAGCTACACTGAGGGGCTGATGCTGGGCCTACCCCACCTTGGCCTCAGGTCCATCTCTCAAGGCCAGTGGGGGTCCAGGCTCTTGTGGGATGAGCAGCAGGTTTCTGCAAGCCAAGCCCTGCCCAGCCAGATCTCTCCAGTGCTCTGGGAGCAGATGGGCAGTAGGCGTGTGTGCACGCGTGTCCCTGCCTTTTAACTGCAGGGGTATAATTAGACATCCATTCTCCTGTAATAGGCATCTCTTTAAAGCCCTTAGATTTGGAAGTTAGTGAGACCTGGGATCAGATCTGAATTCTGCCATTTCCTACTTGGTTTCCTCATCTGTCAAATGGGGGATGTTCCACTTTTTCCAAAAGTAACCCTTTGTTACTTTTCAAAGGGTTTCCAGCTGAGCTGGTGTTTGGTGTCTCTCATTCCCAAACTCATGAAGTGCAAAGGTGGTCAAACCTGTACCAGTGTGTTCCCATTGGCTGTCTCTGGCTGTGGGAAAAGGGTTTTCTTCTCTGTATTTGACTACTCTTCAGTGAGCACAGATTAGCTAGGCAAAAATTAAAAACTTAATCATAGTCACACACCGGGGTCTGATACAGTGCCTGGTGTACAACAGGTGCCTGGAGGGGCATTTGAGTGCATGACTGGTATTGAGTGTTCTTGCCCTCCTGACTGAGTGGAGCATCTCCTGAACCATTCTCGTCCCTCCTACTTTCTACCTTGCAGTGTCGCCTTTGAGACTGATTTTTGGCACAGGCCCTAGTCCTCTTGTCCCTTCCCTGAAGTCTATGGCCTCTCTCCCCTCCAGGGAGTCACTCTCAGCTTCCTCTGGCTCCTGACCCAGTGACCTCAACTAGGGAGGGGAGAACCAGCACCCCAGGAGCCTGAGCTGCTGATTTATGAGCTTGCCTGCCCTCCCCCACCGCAGGAATGTGTGGTGGCTCAGCTGTTTGTCCAGAGGCAGAGATCGTGGAGATCCCGAAGTCTGTTTTCACTTCCAATCCCAGGAGCCCCTGGGACTTTCGTGCTTGTTCTCTGACCTGCTGTGGGGCCTCAGATCAAGTGGACACTGGGACTTTCCAAGCTACCTGCCTCTCCCCTAGAAGTGAGAGTCTCCCTCCACTGTGGTCTGGCTCCCCTAAATGTGAAGACACAAACCTTCTCCCCTGCCACCCCCAGCGCCCCACACTGCAAGTAATAATAGCCTTTGGTTGAGGGTGACAGTTCTCCCAGGGCTGATCCCTGATGTTTGGTTTGGAAGTGACCAATCCTGCTGATCCTTTCATTTGTGGAGAGGTGGGTCTCTGCCTCTCTTTTGCAACATGAATGTAGAGCGGGTGACTCCTCCCAGCATTGGCAAGCTCTTAGTTACCCTGCCAGCAGACCTCCAACTTGTCATACAGGTTGCACACAGTATGGGAGGGGGTTGCCTCCAGACTCTAGGGAGCTCCAGGCTTAGATCCATGATTTCCTTTCATGTGAAAAGTCTGGCCTGGTGATTTTTTTTTTTTTTTTGAGACAGGATCTCATTATGTAGCTTAGGCTACCCTTGAACTCATGGTTCTCTTGCCTTAGCCTTCTGAGTGCTGGAGTTACAGGCCTGTACCACCATACCCAGTTCTTTTTATCTGTTTGTGGCACTTGGGGGTCAAATCCACAGCCTGGAATATGTAGACAAGTGCTCTACCACTGAGCTGCACCCCCAGCCCTGTGATTTATTTTTGCTATCTCCCAAGAAACTGAAATCTTCAAAGCATCTTTCCAAGCCTCAGCTTATGTAGGACCACCCACTCTTACTTAGTTCAGGCCAGTTGTCCCCTCGGCCTGACCCAATCAGCATTTAGCATGCTGAACTGGCCTGTCTCTACCTGTCCCTACCCAGAGAAAGCTTCTCCTGTGTGTGTGTGGGGGGGGGGGGGAATGCTAGAACTGCTTTTCTTCTCTTTAGCCTGAAGTGGAATGACTGGAGCCATTTCTACGGTGGGTCTGAGCTCCTGTGTTTCCCAAGGACAGGCCTTGGCATCCTGTGCTCAGCGGGAAGCCATGCTAGCCGGAAGCCAGAGTGCAGATGATCCTCCCCTTCCCCTTCCCCAAGGATAATCCAGAAATAGTTTCCTCAGACTGGGACTGCCTTCTGTGGTGTGTGGATGGTTCGGGGGCCTTGATTCTGGTTTCCTTATTAGGTGCATATTTCTTCTGATTATGCTGTACTTGGGCCCCCTGAGAAAGTGAGCCTTTCTAAGAGCACCCCAGCAGAACCTAGGGAGCTGGGACTAGGATCAATGGAAAGGCTGAGGCCAGGCCTACTTCAGAGATCCCAGCAACCTCATGGACTCAGCCCCAGTGATAGGCTGGTATCCCTGACTGAACACTCTTTGCTTCCCCCTTGGTTATGGCGGTGGCTGTTTGGAGAGTCCCAAATGAGAGTCCCTTGGCAACCTCTCTGGAGTTAGGAGGAGTTGGCTCAGTATTCCTGCTGTGCTCTGGCCTGGAATTGCCCCAGGCCTCTCCATAGTCAGCCCTTTTGGGCTCTGATCTAGGAGTTCCTAGGGACAGCCTTTGCATTTCTACCTTCCCACTGCTCTGGAGGGAGGCCTGTGAAGTTTCCCTTTCTGGAGTTTTATGGTTTTTCAGAAAACAGGTTAACAATTAAGCTAATTAACCCGAAGGCCTCCTGGCCTTCCTTGTTTCTGTAAGCCACACTAAATGGCTTCCTCCCTCTAGCTTTTCCTGCTCCCATTATAAGGCTGCTGGTGGCCTAAGAGCATTTATTAACCAGCAGAGACAGGCCTGGGCCTCCAGGTACCAAGGTCTCTCCAACTTCCTCTCAGGGACCACACTGTGAATGGAGTAAAGCTGGGCTTGGGGAAAGAATCCCAAAGCTGATAGGGCAGAGACCCTCAGGGGCCGGGAAGCCCTGGGGCTAGGTTTAAGGGCGCCTTTGGTTTCTGCAGGTCTAGGGTCCTGGCTGCAAACTAAGCAAGATGAGGCGGTTCCTGAGACCTGGACATGACCCTGCACGAGAAAGACTGAAGAGGGACCTGTTCCAGTTTAACAAGGTAAGTCGTTAACAAGGTAAGCAGAGGAGACCCTGCCCAGGGCTGGGGTTAAGGGAGATGGTCATGTTTCCTTTACCTTGATGAAGGTACTTGCTTGGCACTACCTGAAAGGCCTCATGGGAATCTGATTTTGGAAATAGGCTGTGGGTAGAGGGCAGTGGGATGCCTGGGTGTTAAGACTCCCTGTCCCAGGTTTCTCACTGGCTGTGTGACCTCTGCAAGTCACTCCACCAAGCCTCTGTCCTCCCACCTGTAAAATGGGCATAAAACAATCTGCCTTACCTGCCTTGTCACAGGGCTGCCAAGGAGGCTGAGGGACAGAAAAGATGAAAGGACACTGAACCCTGTAAGGTATAATAATGTCCCTGTAATACCAGGCTTCTTGGGGCCCAGGAGACCCAGGCCATGGCTTGTCCCTCCCTCCTCAAATTGCCTCCAAAGCAAAAGGCCACTTTCCCTGCAAACTGGACCCCAGCTCCTTCTGGCAAGTTCCAGAGGATGAGGCACCCTGGGGAGTGAGCCAGTGATGGCAATTGACATCCCAATCCTGCTCCTAAAGCCTCAAAAGTTCTGCAGGCCTGCCTGATGAGGCTAGGCCTGAGAAGGCCAGGCAGACCTGTAAACAGGACGAATGTGGTGTGGCTCATTAGTTCCTGGCCACTGCCACCTAGCAATCTGGAGCTGTTTGAGGGTAATTAACCTTCTCCCCTCTGCTTTGATCTCTGCCCCAGGTGGACTGCATGAAGGGGGATACCATGATGCTGTCCCCTGGGGGTTCCAGGGCATGCCCATAGGTGGAATTCTGACTTCTTTTTTTGTTTAGTTTTGTTTTTTAAATGGTGCTGGAGATCAAACCCAGGACCAGTACATTTAACAAGTGCCCAACCACTGAGCTATACCCTGATCCAGGAAACCTGACTTTGTTGGGGGCTTCAGTTTGGGCTCCCTTCTCCAACAAAGGACTCGGTCAGGAAATAACACCTCTCCTGTGGAAAATGAAGAATTCTCTTCAGTTGGGGCTTTTTGTTGTTATTGTTTGGTTTTTTTGATGGGACCAGGGTTTGAACCCAAGTTTTCGTACTTAGAAAGCAGGCATTCTACCACTTAAGCCAGACCTCCGTCCATTTTGCTCTGGTTATTTTGGAGATGAGGGTCTCACAAACTACTTGCCCAGGCTGACCTCAAACTGTGATCCTCCTGATCTCAGTCTCCCAAGTAGCTAGGATTATGGGCATGAGCCACTGGCATCTGGCTTCAGTTGATTTTTTTGTCGATTTGAGACGTCACTTACATCTGGAGACCATGTTCCCATCATCCACACCATAGGATTGTTACAAACTTTATGTGGCATCAAGTAATTTCAGTACTGGCTAGGCACAGGGACCAGGAACTTCTGCTGGGGGAGGTACCTACCAGGAGAGTTGGGTCAGGTGACCCAGTGTGCCCTGCAGGTTTCCTCTGGTTTTCTTGCCCTGTGGAAGAAGGTGTTACCATGGAGCTTTTTATGAGGCCATCTGTCTCTGGAATCAGGGCTTCCCTAAGTGAACACCACTCTCACTAGCTTGCTTTTGGGCTATAGGGAATGAGGTACAGGTGTTGGGAGTGGGATAATCTCAGGACACCTGGGGCCTGCCACCCTCGCTCCTGAGGGGGCCAACCATGAGTGTTGGGTGTGAGTCTCAGAACCTTGTCATCCACTAGGGGCCCTAGGTGACCCCCAGGTGCTTTTGTCACTATTTGGTGATGCTAGGGATCACTCACTGGGAAAAGGTGACCAATTCCAGCAGAAACCAGACAAACTGAGCAGAGGGGTGAACCCTTGCCCCAAGTTCCTCTGTGCAGTGGGTGAGGCTGGGGTGGGGCTGGGGTGGAAGAATCTTCCCCTCATCTCCACAACCCACCACTGGTAGACCCCAAACTTGGCCACCCCACTCCCAGACCTGGCAGGGGAAGGGGGAGGCTCTGAAATTCTTCCTGCCTTCTCTCGCTTCTTCCTTCCGTGCAATCCTAACCTACTGTCCATAGCCCAAGGGCTGTGGGATCTCAGATGATAAGGCCTTTGCCCTTCAGGACTTACAGAGGGTGGGGGCTGATAGGCATGCCCATAGGTGCTGATGGTCTGACATTCCGTGTCTTAAGAGTAGAAAGGAGGAAAAGGAGAGCTAAGGAGGGGTAAGGAGGGAAGGAGGGAGCTGTGATAGTCTCATCCAGGCTCTGGGAGTTTGGTGGAGCCTGAGGCCAGATCCTGGAGGATTTGGGACCCTGGATCGCCCTACCAGTGGTAGCCCAAAATGTCTTCAGACTTTGCCGTATGTATCTCCTGAGGGTAAAAGTGCTCCTGATTGAGAACCACTAGAACCAGGAACCATTTAGGGCATAAGATAGTGGAGACCTGATTGAGTATGGGAATGAAGGACAAAGAAGAGACTGGGTGTCCAGGATGACTGTGGGGTCCCTGTCCCAGGTGGGTAGTAGTGCCAGGTGCTGTGAGGAGGGGGTACCCAGGAGCAGTGAGGAACAAGTTTGAGGGAAGTGATCCATTTGGGTCATTTTGATTTGGATGGACTAGGAACAATGGGTGAACTTTACTTATGGAGGGCATCTCATCCAGTGACAACCCCACACCTGGCTGGTGGTCCCCATTGTGTGGCCACAGCAGTTCTCTCATCTCTAGAATGGAAATGGTATTAGAAGGTAGCCCCTAGGGTTGGTACGAGGACTGAAGGTGCGAAGACTGAATGGGTCAATGCATAAATGGAAGGACTGTCCCTGGCTAGTGGCCACAGTATCCAGTGGCCCGGTTCTACAGGTTTCACTGACCCAAGGGAAGCCAATGAGGATGCTCAGGTGAAGGAGGGTCCAGCAGACAGTGGGTGTACCAAGCTGGACCTTGAGTGACTTGTGGGCTGCTGGTGTAGACTAGACACAGGAATTATTGTGTCAGCGCCCAGAGAGTGTGCCCAGGGACTCTGGTCACCACTCCGAGAGCTCCGTCAGCAAGACACTGTGTTGGGGAGGTGGAGGGAAGCAGTGGTACATACCAGCTTCTAAACCAGTTCTAGGCCTTTCTCTCCAGCACCTTCTAGGCAAACTCCTTTACACCGGTTGCCAATGTGTGTTGGAGAGTCCAATTGCCCTTGGACTCTGATTGCTGCATGCTTCTGGCCAGGAGATGTGACCATGGCTAGAATTTCTGAATTCTCTGGCATGGTCTGGCTGCCAGAGGGACAAACAACTTCAGATTAACCAAGGCTAGGGACTTGGCATGGGGGCCAGGCGGTGCAGTTGTTAAGGGCAGATGACCTGAGCCAAGATCCCTGCTCTGCTGTCTTCTCGCTGTGTGACCATGGGCACGTTACTTAGCCTCTGCTCCTCTGTGTGTCCTCATTTGTAAAATGGGCACCATGACAGTTGCTGTATCCAACTTGGCATGCTGAGTGGATTTAATAGTGTCAAGTGGTACCTTGATATGGTGTTGGCTCACAGATGGGTGTTGTTGCCACTGCACAGGTGAGGAAACTGAGGCTTCCAGGGCTTGTCCACCCTCAGCATATCCTACAGGACCTTTGCGGGGATTAGTACGGTCCTGTTCCTTCTGCTTACTAGCTGTGTGGCCTTACAGTGGTGACTTCACCTCTCTGAGCTTCATATTTTTCTTCTGTGAAGTAGTCATTTACCACACGTGGTGGATCCTCAAGCTTGTTGGGAGGTAGACAGATAAGTCAGTAGTCCTGCACAGGGCCACTGAGGACCAACCGAGGGAACGTAGTAGGAAGGAAGTGACTCAGGAGGGGAAAGAAACCTTCAAGTCAAAGTAAAACCCCTTCCTTGAACACTGCTTGCAGCCTGCTCACTCCCCTAGTGAAACCCAAGTACCTCAAACAGCCATGCCCAGCAGCTGAGAGGCCTGCCCTGGGTTGCCACAGAGCCACCTGCCCTGGCCCACATCCCAGTCCTCAGGCCCTGAACAAACAGCTTGTTCCTGACCAGCTGCCCCTGCCCAGAGCCAGGTTGTTTTGTCTTGGCTTTTCCATGGCAAGGCTCCTAGTGTCAGGTGACAGCCACACGGGGGAGGGCCAAGTTGCCACCACCAAGAATCTGAGCTGACCACACCCAGTATGGCCTGGTAGGCGGGTGTGTCCCTTATAGCCCTGGGCAGCCTCCTGGGGCAAGACCCTTTCCCATCCCTTGTTAAGTACCCTGGGCTCCCAATCCCTGTTCCTGGATGGGGCCCTGCCCAACTGAGGGCAGGATGAAGGGCACCCAATTTGACACTCACTTCCCTTCCAGGGACCTGGGCCCAGGTCCTGGAGTCAGGATGAGACAGTGGCCTTTCTCTCCCACTTGGGCTAATGTTGCAGTTTGGCGCCTCTGCAGATCTTTGCTCTCCTTTCCCCATTCACTGTCAAAGGAGTTCATTGTTCTCTCCTCCCTTGGCAGAGGTCACCTGAGCCAGGTAGCAGGGTGGGGGCAGGGCCAGGGAGGTGTGATACAGGGCTCCAGAGGGGGGCAGGGATGGCCCCAGGGCTGCCAAGCCTTAAGCAGCTTCTTGGGTTTGGTCCCAAGTTGTAGTTAGTTAGGATCTTTGGTTGGGAGGACTGAGAATTCCAGGCCCACCCAGGGGCTGTGCCTGCTGCTCCACGTGCTCCCAACTGCAAGGAATGCTTAGAGTTGTCTGTGCTCTGGGAACCACAGAGCCTGGGCCTGCGCCCTCCTCCTGTGCCATCTGCACTCCCTCTTCTAGGGATCTGGAGCTGTTCCTAAGCCCCAAATAAGGTAGATGTGGTGGGGGGGTGCCACCCACATGGACCTTGTACTCCAGTGGGACTGCCAAGATATAAAAGGTATTAGGAGTTGGAGAAAGGACAACAGGGTGTGGGCAGGGCACTGAGGTTTGAGGACATCTGGGGCAGGGCTGGTGCCTGGCAGAGCCTGCATTCCCTCCCTTACCTGGTTTCCCTAGGACACACCCTGAGTTTCTAGCACCTTTCTATCCCTTCAATAGTCAGCAGCTCTCAGTCTTCTCCCCAAAGCTAAATCCTTCCTTCCCTATCCCAGCAAGATCTCTGGGCCTCTGCACAGCCCTGCCTGTTTGGGTCTGTGCACTCAAGCCTGGCTTTACCACCTCACAGAATTGCTTATTCCATTCAGGGACTTCTAGATCTTACATGCATGCCCGGATCTGGGAGCCCACGCTAATTACATCTGAACCCACCTGTACCCTGTCTAGGGAGAGTCACTGTGGAGTTCACACCCCTTGTTTTGCTCTTGAGGGAACCTTAGTCCCTCCAGGGTTGTCAGCTTGGAGGAGATGCTGCCAAGGGATGCTACAGGAAGATAAACTTCGCAGGAAGCTGGCCTGGGGGTGGGGGCCAAGGTCTGTGTACGCCAAGGGTGAGCCCAGCCTTCCGGCTGCTGTCAGGTGGCCGCTGCCAATTGGTCTTCCTGAGGTTTGTTGTGTTCAATCTGAGAACAGCCCTGCTCAGAGCAGTCGCAAATGTCATCTCATTGATGGGATGGGCTGGGATGGGAAGTGAGTCTTGAGAACAATGTAGCTCACTCAGTGCAAGCACCATTTAAGAGCTCATGTCTATAATCCTGGCTACTCAGTAGGCAGAGATTAGGAGGATCTGAAGCCAGCCTCTGGCAGGAAGATTCTATCTCAAAAATATCCAGCATAAAAGAAGGCTGGTGGAGTTGCTCAAGTGCCTGCCTAGCAAGCATGAGGCCCTGAGTTCAAACTCCAGTACTGCCAAAAAGAAAAAAGAGGCAGAAGAGAAATGGAAGCTTAGTGGGTTTGACTAGGTGCCTGTGCTTTGGAACTGGAGGCCTTTGGAACAGGAGGGGAGGAAGGAAGGGGTGCCCACTGTGTCCTCAAGACCCCAAAGGAAATGAGGAAATGAATGTGGGTGACTGAAAGATGATCCCCACCCTCTTTGCATTCTTCTGGGTTGGAGAAAGTAAACTGGCTTGCAGCAGGAGGCTCTCTGGTGAGATGTTAGACCTGCCAGTGAGTGATGCCACACGTGGCCCGAGCTACAAGCCTATAGGGATGTACTCTTCAATCCAGCATAGCCAAGATACTATTATTTTGACATGTAGGCTGTACAAATTGCTAGTAAGATGTTTTCACTTTTATTACTTTTTTTTTTTAGTCCTGAGTCTTTGAAATCTGGGCATATTTTGCACTTTACAGCACATCTCAATTCTGACAAATCTTTGGATATCCATCTTTAGAGTTTGGAAGATTTAAAGTTGAAAAAGGAGACTTGAAGTTGGTCTGCCTGAGTCCAGCCCCTGTTATTTTAGAAGTCAAGTTCCAAAGACATTGGGCATTTTCCAATAACTGAATTGAGTATCCACTCTTATATTTAAATTGACATAGGAATTTGCATAGGGAAGAGTGCTTGCCCAGCATGGGTAAGGCCCTGGGTTGGATCCCTAGCATTTGCAAGTAAAACAAAATGCTGCTTCTTAATTTAATTAAAATAAAGAAAAATTTAAGAAATCAGCCTCTTGGTGGCACTAACTATATGGCAAGTGCTCAGTAGCTACTTGTGGCCTGTGGCTATTGTTCTGGGAGGTTCAGGAGTGGGACCTGCTACAGCCATTACGTTACTGGGGACTTTTCCCCCAGAGTCCTCCAAATTCCACATTCCAGAGGCTTTTGCCCTGAGCTATTGCTGCTGGTGATGGGGAAAAATGCTGCTGTTTCAGGAACTTTCTCCTGGGCTCTGGCAGCTGACTTCCTGAGTTCCCTGCAACCTGGGGTTGGCTGAGGCCTAGCAGGGCCCGTGGGGAAGCTTGTCCCACACAGCCGATCCATTCTTTGCTTTCCTTTGCTTGGAAAATGTTTACATTCCAGACACTCAGCTATCTCCCCAGGGCCTTTCCAGGCTCTGCATTTTTTACATAGTTGAACAAGGACCTGAGCTCACAGGAGGCTCATACTTGATCCTTCTCTCCTGGCTGTCCCTCTGGGGATAGTCATTTGTACAGCACACTGTATTCCTGCCCACCCACCTTCAGCTCCCAATAAGTACCCTAAATAGGCACTTAATGGAGCTTTCCTCCCCAGCCTGACCCTAGCGTGGGCCTCCTTCCATGAACCACTGAGCTGGATTGGATTAGCAGGGAGGCAGACAGCCGGGGACTTTGTTCTTATGCCGGCTATCACCAGAGCTTATCTCTTCCCACTGCTTGGAAGCCTGGCAGGGCTCCTTAAGCCCTGGGCCCTATTCTGCAGGGCAGTCTTCATGGTATAATAATGCCGGTAGAGCAAGTGGTTGCTTTGGTTAGTGCTCTGCTCTAAACCCAGCTCGGCAGGGCCAGCACCTCCTGGAGTGCTAACTGAGAAGCAGAAACCAACACCTCTCTGAAGGTGCTTTGTCCATCTAGACTTGTAGTGTTCACCTGCATCCCTTTCACCCTGAAGCTCCTTGCTTAGGACACCTGCCTCAGGAAATGCCCAGAACTGCAGGCGGTGGGTGGATAGGAGACCAGGAATGGTTGTCACTGCAAAAGCTCTAGAAACAGACGAATGTAATTCAGGCCCTGGGAATGAGGCAACTCCACCTCAGGAATATTCTCCAGTTGTTTCAAAGTTGTGTTAAAGCTTTTAACAGGGCTGGTGGAGTGGCTGAAGCGGTAAGAGCACTTGCCTAGTAAGCATGAGACCCTGAGTTCAAACCCCATTACTGGAAAAAAAAAAAAAAAGAAAAAACTGGGCAGTTTTGAGTGAAGAAACAGACTGTGAACCTGCACGTGCACAGGAGCATGTACAGGAGTGTCTGGGTGGCATGATCTCCATCATGTTTCTGCACTTTTAGCATGTACACAGGGCCTGGGGGGTGGCTCAGCAGCAGAGCACTTGCCTAGCATGTGGGAGGCCCTTCCTTCCATCCCCACCACCACAAAAAAAAAACAAAGAAAAAGAAAAGAAATGAACAAAAGCATGTACCTACAGCAACTCTGTAGAAATCTCCTCTCTAGGAAGATGGTTGAGAAAAACTCAATGATAAGGGCCCTTGAGGCAGAGCAGAAAGGGTGGAGGGACCTGGGACAGTCCAGGGTGGGGCAGGGGCACTGGGATACTGTCAGGCTTCAGGCTAGGCCTGGAGCTGTGGTGCCACTAGGTTTTTTCCCTGAGGAAAGGGAACCACCTCACCACTCCTAGCCCCCAACCTACCCAAGTATATGGAAGGTCTGGTCTGTTGCCCAGGATGTGCTTGGTGGAGGCACAAGTTCCTGGAGAGCATCGGTGGCCTGAATGGTGACAGGGACAGTGAGCTCAAAGTAGGCCACGTGGCAGGGACATGGTCACAAATGAACTGCAGTGGGGGTAAGCCGATGGATGGATGATTCTGGTTTGGCTCTAACACTCTGGTGCCTGGGAAAAACCTGGCAGGGTCCAGATTCTTTCCTGCTGGGCTGGATCTGAGCTGTGGCTTTACCATTGGCTCCTGGCCCCAGCCATGGTGAGGCAGAGGGGATGCAGCGATGCAGGGGACATGTCTGCAGGCCCGGCTCACTTGGCTCTTGTTGCAGACAGTGGAGCATGGCTTTCCGCACCAGCCCAGCGCCCTTGGCTACAGCCCATCCTTGCACATCCTGGCCATTGGCACCCGCTCTGGAGCAGTCAAGCTGTATCCTTTCCAGTGCCTGCCCCCACCCGTCCCCGCCCCCACCAGCAGCCCCATGCAGGCCTGGGGTGGGTAATCTGGCAAGATGAGATTTGGGGTAGGCCGGTTGTCCCTCCTTGCTCCTAGACTGTTGGGTTGAGAGCAGACTTTCCTGATTTTGGCTGTGAAAGTGATTTTCTTGGTGGTGGTGGGGCGGGAAGGGGTTCTAGCAGTTCAGCATAGCAAGTTGTTTATTGTCCTTTTAGGTGAGGAGGGGGTAGGTTAATTTTGCCTTGTTGTTATTCAGTTTCCTTTTATCATCCCCAGCTGGAAATTTCAAGAATCAAGCTATACTGGACAGAATGGGGTCTAAAGTGACTGGGCACCATGCCCAAGAGGAGAGAGGCTTGGCCCCAGCTTCTTTTCCTTCTGTTCTGACAGGATGTGGGGCCCAGAGACCTGTTTGGTGGGGGAAGAGTGTGGGGGGGGTGGCTATACTGGAGGTAGAAATAGAAGTCCCAGAGAAAAGGGTCCAATGGCATTTTCCTATTAAGTATGTGAGTGCCCAGTGGGTCAGGAACCTGGAGGATGCTTTGCTCACTTCACACTCAGATTGCCATGGGGAGGGAGCTCTTGGTGTAATCTTCCTCTGTCCCTCCCAATCTACACCCCCCACCCCAAAAAAACCAGTTACAGATGACTCTCTTGTCCCTGGGAATATTCCACTCTCCTCTCAAGAGTCTACCCTATGTGAGTGGAAGGAGGCAGGAGACTGACCAAGAAGCATTTTTGTTTACTTTTCTCCTCCATGAACTTCGGGAATAGACTGGCCCTGGGCTCTGTCCATAGGTAAAGGTGGGGTGGCCATAGGTGTAGGCAGCAGCTCTAGGCCAGTAATTCTTCCAGATCTCTCTCTCTCTCTCTCTCACTCTCACTCTCACTCTCTCAGACACAGACACACAGACACACACAGACACACAGACACACACACACACACACACATACACACACCCACACACACTCACTCACTCACTCACTCACTCTCTGTTGGGTGGTCTTTTGTCCAAAGCTTTGTTCCTGGGCTGGCTGGGGGCTCCAGGTGGTCTCAGTTCCAGGAGGGAGGATGTCCCTTGGACTTATCGTCTGACTATCCTGGCCTAGGCCACAGGTCTTGAACACCATCCCCCTTCATTTGACCTGCACCCCTGGTCAAATTTCAATCTGTCACCTTGTCCCTCGAAGCCCTTGTTCCCTCCTGCTCCTCTGTTACAGCAAGGTGGGGGTGGCTGGGCTGGTACACATGCAAGAGAGCAGGGGCCCAGGTTCTGCTGCTGCTCAGACTTCCTCCAGCTCGTTAATCATTGCCAGCCACAGCTACATCCTGCTTACCAATCCCTAGTGCCAAGGCCGCCAGGGGTGGGTCCAGAGCAGTCCCCTGTGTTTTTTCACAGTTGCCACCAGGTGATAGCCATGGGTCTGTTGTTACATCTCAGGTTGTGGGGGAGGGGAGGGGAGGAGAGACAGCCTAACAAGATAAGGCTTCCCCTTTCTGAGGAGTCCCCCTTACCTGTCTGGCTAGTCCAAACTGTCCCTGAGGTCAGGTCACTAGCCGAGTGTCCTGGGCCAGGACCACTGCAGACTCCTTTTTACCTCAGGCCTCTGGACATGGGTCTTGGTATGTGTGGGGGGAGAGCAGGTCCTTCCCTGTGTGTACTTTTTGCCACCTGGGCCAGAGAGCTCGCTACTCAGGGTGGTGAGGGCTGAAACCTAGCATTCAGAGGTTTTCCCGAGCTTTCTCTTAGCTACGGTGCCCCGGGAGTAGAGTTCATGGGGCTCCACCGGGAGAACAATGCCGTGATGCAGATCCGCTTCCTGCCTGGCCAGGTAAGGACCTGGATTGGGGAGGGACAGTCCTCCTCCCTGCTTGTCCTACCCTTGAGTCCTTCAGAAGGGGTGGTGCGGGGCCCTGGCTTTGGTGCTCACAGGAAGACCTCCCTTTCTCACAGTCTACCCTGAGAGTAGCTGAGAAAGGAGAATCTTTTGGTTCTGGGCTCTTTGATGAAACAACTGGCCCTGCCTGGGCCACACCAGTGTGTAAAGGACTTGGAGAATGCCACCCTCCTTGGTTAACAAGACAGCACACTCCTATCCCCTGTCCTTCCCCTTCCCTCCCTAGTGCCAGCTGGTCACCCTGCTAGATGACAACAGCCTGCATCTGTGGAGCCTGAAGGTCAAGGGTGGGGTGTCAGAACTACAGGAGGAAGAGAGTTTCACACTGCGTGGCCCCCCAGGGTAAGGACACAGTCTCCTTCCTCTCCCAGCCCGACCTGACCCTCGCACCCAACTCCAGGATGAGCTTATCCTTTGAGAGCCCCATTGCACCTTGGCAGTGCCTGGCATGTGTTCAAGCCACTGCACCTCATGCTCAGGTGCAGTGGATGAGACTGGGCTCTCCCTGTCTCTATGCCTATGTCCTAGTGTGCAGGGGGGTCTCAGGTATTTTTCCTGCTTCCCAGCCAAAGCTCTTTGCCATCTGTCTCTTGCCCTGGCAGATCATGGCTGATATGTCTATCCTGACCTGAGGTGCTGTAAACCCCATCAAAGGCCTATCTTCCCTAGGCCAGGCCTTCCCTGGGGCTTCCCATCCCTGGGGTTCCCTCTGCCTGAGCAGCCAGCTTATGCTTAGCTGTCCCCGTTGGCAGGGCTGCCCCCAGTGCCACGCAGATCACTGTGGTCCTGCCTCACTCCTCCCAAGAGCTCCTCTACCTGGGCACTGAAAGTGGCAACGTGTTTGTGGTGCAGCTGCCGGGTTTCCGCGTGCTGGAGGACCAGGCCATCAGCTCGGATGCTGTGCTGCAGTGGTGAGGCACCGGGTGCCCGGACTGGGGCAAGGCCTTCTCCCTTTGGTCCCCAGGAGTGTCTCTCGGTTTATAACTTCTCTTTTGGGAAGTCTATAGGGATAGGAAGGAAGACCCTTAGCTTTCCACCTGTCCTCCAAGTTGAGAATCTGTCATTCCACATTTGTTAGCATCATTGTACTAAGGGAAGTCTTGAGGATTATTTGTCACTGTATTTAAAGAAGGGAAAGGAAGCTAGAGGAATGGCTTAAGTGGTAGAGCACCTGCCTAGCAAGTTCCAAACCCTGAGTTCAAACCCAAGTACTGCCCAAAGGAAAAAAAAAAAAAAAAAGTAAATAAATAAATACAATGAATAAATGTGAGGGAGGGTTGAGGTGTGGCTCAAGTGGTAGAGTACTTGCCTAGCAAGGGCAAAACCCTGAGTTCAAACCCCAGTACCACCAAAACAATTATTTTAATTAAAGAAAAGATAGAAGGTGAAAGAAATGAGACCCAAAGTGCTAGTGTGATGTCACCAACTGTTTCTTAGGCCAGTGTCCTTTGTGCTGAGATCATGAGTCTCACAACCCCAGCGGCTCTGCAGTAGGGAAACCAGGGCCCAAACTGCCGTGCCTCAGCCTGGCCAGCTCCTGCTGACAACAGAGGCTGGGAGTACTGTGCTGAGATTCCATTCATGTGCAGCCACTGTGACTGAAAAGCCTAGACAGCCACAGCCTGGAGGTCTGTTGAGGTCATTTTGGAGGCTTTGCTCTTCAGTGATGGGGTCTGGGGCACAGAGGGAGTCATATCAGGTGGACAGAGGCACAGAACTAAGGAAAGGAAGATGAGGGAGTCTGGCAAAAGCTTGTGGGGGCCAGGTTAGTGGTGGTGGCATGTTCTGTAGTTCCAAGGGGCAAGGAGGAAGCCAAGGTGCCGAGCCCCTGGCCCTGGCTGGCTCTGAACCAGGCTCAGGACTCACACAGCAGACAGGCTAGGTTCTCCAATTCTCTTGAGTGACCATGAAGCAGGGCCCATCTGTCCAGACCAGGGCATTGCTGGGTGGGAAGTCCTATGTGGGACTGGGACTACAAACCCCTGTGCCTTTCCTACTCGTCAGGACTGGGCTAGGGCAGTGTCCTGTCAGAACAGAGTATTTTGCAGGATGATAGGCAGGCACAGCTGGTGACCAGCCTGGGTTTGCTCTGAGGGCAAGATGGCAGCAAGACCTGCTCCTCTGCATGTGGCCACACCAGGGCCTAGCCTTACCCTTGTGGTGAACTGGCCAGTCTAGTTGGGGAGAGGCCTGAGTATCTAAGAACTCCTTCTAGCAATCTAAATTCTTGTTTACTTTTCACTCTGTCAGCACTTAACCTAGGTTTTTGTTTTTTGATTGAGACAAAAAAGGCTTGGTATATAATCCAGACTTGTCTCTAACTCATGACCCTCCTGCCTCAGCCTCTTTCTTGAGCACCAGATTACAGATGTGCACCACCACACCCAACCCTGGGGAGTTTTTGATGTATCTCTGACCTGTTCTACAGGTTACCTCTCTCCCCCTGGTGATATGTCCTTGCCACTCATCCATGCTGGCACATGAACACCATGTGCAGCTTGGGCTCACGGCACTCCCCCCTGCCCAGGTTGCCAGAGGAGGCCCGGCACCGGCGAGTGTTTGAGATGGTGGAGGCACTGCAAGAACACCCTCGAGACCCCAACCAAATCCTGATTGGCTACAGCCGGGGCCTTGTCGTCATCTGGGACCTCCACAGCAGCCGTGTGCGCTACCATTTCCTCAGCAGCCAGGTAGGTGGTGTCCAGGACAGCGGCTCTCCCTGGCTTCATGTGGCACACACCCTTCTGTGCTGAGCACAGGCTGCAGGCACTGGCGATGTTGTCCTTATCCCAGGCACTGCTCTCTCCCTCTCTCCTCCTCTGAAGCAACTGGAAAACGTCAGCTGGCAGCGGGACGGCCGTCTGATTGTCACCTGCCACTCCGATGGTAGTCATTGCCAGTGGCCTGTGTCTAGTGACGCCCAGCAACCAGAGCCTCTGTGCAGCTCCGTGCCTTATGGTCAGTGCTACACCTGCTCAGTGGTGCCTCACCCTGCCCTCCCACCTGAGGAGCACCTTTGGTCTTTCCTGGGCTCAGGCATAGGGTACCTGGCTCATAGAAGCAAAACCTGGGCCCAGAGAGGCTCAGGGCTTGGTCGAAAGCTGCACAGTCAATTTTTAGATGCCAACTATGGGTGTTTCAGGAAGCCACTCAGAGCAAGACTGCCCAGCACAGGTCCACACGTGGGCATGGGAACTGATGGATGTCTAAGAGTAGGGGTACGCATTCAAACTCACTCCTTTTCTTTTAGGTCCCTTTCCTTGCAAAGCTATTACCAAAATCTTTTGGCTGACCACCAGGCAGGGGTAGGTATCAGTGCTCTCTCCTCCTCACTTCCCAGAGCCTCTCTGGAGAACTGGAAGGACTGCTTGGGCCCCTGCTAGGGGAGATGACACCTAGTGAAGGCCTTCACCCAGGGAAGGGAGAGGAGGCAGACTTACCATTTGTACGTCTCACTGGCTCAATCCATGCAAAGTCCCTTTCCTTCCCTTCCCTTCCCTTCCTTCCACCTTCCCAGAGAGATATCAGTCAGTGATATTGATCGCCCGTCGGGCTGCAGCGCCATTTCTTCAGATAGATAGACCTGGTGTAGAAACAGATGGGAGGGGGCACTCTGGGTAAAGCAAGTGGCTGCAGATACTCAGGACCCCTAGGTTGATGCCCCAAGTTTTCCTGAGTTACTGCAATCAGGAAGAGATCGAGGTTCAGCCCTGCCCCCCTCCAGTCACCTAGAAACTGGCTTCCCTCCAGGTACTGGGACCCCTGTAGACCACAGACGCTGCAACAAAGGCTGGTCACTGTTCTGTGTGACCCAAAAAGTCCTAGGCGCCAGCCCAGCCCAGCCTGTGGCTACCTAGGGTTATGCAGAGCCCCAACCCACCGCTCCCCTTCTTCTGCAGGTTGCCCTTCACCATCTTCCAGGGTGGCATGCCACGGGCCAGCTACGGGGATCGCCACTGCATCTCAGTGGTCCACAATGGCCAGCAAACAGCCTTTGACTTCACCTCCCGTGTCATTGACTTCACTGTCCTCGCCGAGGCGGACCCTGCAGCTGGTAGGCAACCTTTGGGAGTGTGTGTGTAGGGCTAGGCGTGGTTGGTGGGGGGTGCCAGGAGGATACATAAATGAAGAAAGGGACCCTGTACAGATTTTCCAAAACCTGCCTCCCTCCTAGGTCCCTTGGCCTCACTATGTTCCTTAGTGCCACCAAGACCAGTGGTACCATTTTCCTCAGCCAGAGAGCCTGCCTGGAGCTTCATCCTTACCGGCCACACCTCTCACCTGTCCCAAGCACACTGTAAGGGACTGAGCCCAGTGCAGCCCAGTGCAAATCTGCACTGTTGGATTTGCTGCCCACCCAGCTTTAGCTAGAAGGCCCTGGCCCTGGCCCTGACTCAGTGAAGCCTGCCTTCTGGGTGGGGTAACAGGTGGCAGTGTGGGACCAGCTCTGAGTCAGCCTCATAAATGCGATGACAGACAATTCCAGCAAGGGCTGATGTCGTAACCGGGAGGAGGCCTCTGGGAGCTCTCCGGGAGGGAGGGCAGGCTTCCTCTGCTGATGACTCTGGCCTACCTTGCCAAGGCCTCCAGGTGCTGGAGGTGGGGTTACTCAGGACTCCTTGATCTGAGTCTACCCACCCTCCCACCACAGAGGAAGGCCTCATACCTGTTTGTTCATCTTTCTCGGCCTCTTTCCTCTCCTCTTACTCTGGATGCTGAGAGCAGGGCTCCAGTGCAGCCGTCCTCAAACCAGTCAGTGCCACCAGGCCTAGAGCTGGGGTCTTTTGGGGTTTCCTGGGGGTGGCTGCCCCTATTTCTCTTGGCTGACTAGGTCATGTGATCCCCAGCAGAGGATGAGGGAGGCAGGAGAGAAACTCAAAACTAATGAGGGGCTGGCAGAGTGGCTCAAGTGGTAGAGAACCTGCCTAGCAAGCATGAGGCCCTAGAATTCAAACCCCCATACCACAAATACATGGGATATCTAGGGCAGGCCACCCTCCTGTGATTGCCTATACACATTTCCCTCACAGTTCTAACAGGCTAGAATATGGGTAGGTGATGAGAGGTACCCCCACAGACAAGATGTGGGCATCCTAAGTCTCCCATGTAATTCCTCTGCCTTGCACTTGTGCTGGGCAGGCTCTCCTATTTAGTGAGCAACTCCTACGTGCCAAGCCCTTCCCAGGAACAGACAGAAAGCCCCAAGGGCTCTGGTGGTGCAATTTGAGTTGGGGGAGGTGGAGTGAGCAGGTGGACAGGTGATGTCAGAGGCAGGAAAAAAGCAAGGCCAGGGGAAGAGGCAGCGGTGAGGAGAACATTGCCAATTTAGATGAGGTGGTCAGCAAGGCCTTCCTAAGAAGGGGACATGTTTGAGTAAACATCAGAATGTGTCGAGAGGCCAGGGCTGGCCCCACAGGGACCTGGGGTGCAGACTTTGAGCAGGAGAGCACTTGGCTTACTTAAGTGAGATGTGGGAAGACAGAGGGGAATGTGACCGCAGAGATTACACCAGCTGTGGCTAGTGCAGATCATATAGAGCCATACACAGTGAGGCCATTGGGTTTATTTCAAGAGAAATGAGAACCCCAAGCAGAAGTACCACGACCTGGCCTCTGTTCAGAGGATTGGTCTGCCCACTGCAGGGAACATCCCATGAGGATGGAGATGGGAGCCCCTGAGAGCCAAGTGAGAGGTGCCATAGCTCCGTCAAGAATAGAAGCAGCACAGTGGATCTGCAGGACATGTGGGGTTTGGAATGACAGTCCAGATCTGCAGAGGGCTGGATAGCAAATGTTCTCCCAGCCACAGCAACTTATTCCTGCTGCTGTTGGAGAGCAAATGCAGCCGCAGGCAGTGTGGTACAGGTGGGCATATCTGTGTCCCATACAGCTTTGTATAAAGAACAAGCAGTGGATGGACCAGATTTGGCCCTTAGACTGTGATTTGTTGAGCATTTGTCTAGGTAGAGACGTGTGGAGGCAAGAGTGGTGAAGGGTTTGGCTTAAGCCTCAAGAAGCTCAGAGAAGGCAGTGTGGATGGAATCAAGTTTGAAGACAAGTTTAAGGATATCTTGAATCTTTGAGCCTGGATTCAGAAGACAGACCTGGAAGATATACCTTTGGAGTCATCTACATAGAGATAGTAAAGCCCTGAGACCAGATGAGGCTGCCCAGTGGTGAAGGAAACAGAGAAGTTCAGCCTGGAAAAACTCAGCCCCAGCCAGGCACAGTGGTTCACACCTGTAATCCCAGACACTTGGGAGGTGGAGATTGGGATGACCATGATTTGAGGCCAGCTTGGGTAAAAAGCTAGACCTGATCTCAACAAGTAAATTGGGTGTGGTGGTATGTGCCTGTGATCTCAGCTACATGGGAGGCCATAGGTAGGAGGATCATGATATGAGGCTGGCCCCAGACAAAAACACAAGACCTTACCTGAAACATAACGAAAGCAAAGGAGGGCTGGCAGTGTGGCTAATGTGGTAAAACGCCTACCTGAGTTCAAACCACAGGACCTGGGGAGGAAGATGTGGGAGAGAGCAGCCCCAGCTCGCCCTGAAACTGTGAGGTGTGCAGAGGTTGATGGATCCAGCTATTACTCTGGAGCAGGCCAGGCTGGGGTACATTGCCGCCTCCTGGCTCTGACCCTTGGTCTGTACCCCAGCCTTTGACGACCCCTATGCCCTGGTGGTGCTGGCCGAGGAGGAGCTGGTGGTGATCGACCTGCAGACTGCGGGCTGGCCACCAGTGCAGCCACCCTACCTGGCCTCTCTGCACTGCTCTGCCATCACCTGTTCCCACCATGTCTCCAACATCCCCCTGAAGCTGTGGGAGCGCGTCATCGCTGCAGGCAGCCAGCAGAATGCACACTTCTCCTCCATGGTAGGTCCACCCCCAGCCCCAGCCCACCCCCACCTCAGAGCCAGACTCTGAGCTTCCTGGTCTCCTTCCCCAGGAGTGGCCCATTGATGGTGGCACTAGCCTGGCTCTACCCCCACCCCAGAGGGACCTGCTGCTCACGGGGTAGGTAACTTGAATGCTACTTTTCCTCTTCCTGAGAGGGTACTGAGGGTGGAAGCAGAGCCCCAAGGTGTGTGTGCCAGTTCCTGGGCACGCTGGCTGGCATCACTCTCACCAGAGGTAGGCGGGCTCTGCCCACAGGCACGAGGATGGCACAGTACGGTTCTGGGATGCCTCGGGCGTCTGCTTGCGGCTGCTGTACAAACTCAGCACAGTGCAGGTGTTCCTCACTGATGCAGACCCCGATGAGAACCTCGACGCCCAGGGAGAGCACGAGTGGCCCCCACTCCGCAAGGTGAGACCGGGAGCCTGGGAACCCGGGTAGATGGGCAGGTGGGGGCAGGAAGGGGGTGGACAGGCTGGGACCTGCCCATGACCACTCACGGGACTCCTCTCCCTCATTAGGTGGGCTCCTTTGACCCCTACAGTGACGATCCCCGGCTGGGCATCCAGAAGATCTTCCTGTGCAAATACAGTGGCTACCTGGCTGTGGCGGGCACCGCAGGGCAGGTAGCAGGCTGTGCAGGGTGGAGATTGAGGGCTGAGTGGTTGGTGACTTTGGGTAGCAGGGACTCATGAGCCCCCACCTGTGGTGTTACCAGGAGCACATCCTGTTCTGTACTTTTTGCTTGAGGGAGCCCCTGGAGTGGTTGTTTCCTTTCCAGAAATCCAAATGCAGGCTGGAATTGAGCAGAGGCCTCAGGCCCTGCTGGATTCTGGGCCTTGGCTTAGGTCCTGGGTTCGATTCCCTTGGTACCTTGCTGAGCTGCCTGCCACCCCATCCAGGTGCTGGTGCTGGAGCTGAACGATGAGGCAGCCCAGCATGCTGTGGAGCAGGTGGAGGCTGACTTGCTGCAGGACCAGGAAGGCTATCGCTGGAAGGGGCACGAACGCCTGGCTGCCCGCCCGGGACCTGTGCACTTCGAGCCCGGCTTCCAGCCCTCTGTGTTGGTGCAGTGCCAGCCCCCGGCCGTTGTCACCTCCTTGGCCCTGCACTCCGAGTGGCGGCTCGTGGCCTTTGGCACCAGCCACGGCTTTGGCCTCTTTGACCACCAGCAGCGGCGTCAGGTCTTTGTCAAGTGAGCAGCACTGCTGGGACTGGAGTTTGTGACTGGGGCCTTGCAAGTACCCCTGAGCCCTGCAGGACTGACATCCTGACGTTCCCCACCCAGGTGCACACTGCACCCCAGTGACCAGCTAGCCTTGGAGGGCCCACTGTCCCGTGTAAAGTCCCTCAAGAAGTCCCTGCGCCAGTCATTCCGCAGGATGCAGCGAAGCAGGGTGTCCGGCCGGAAGCGGCAGCCAGCCGGAGCCCCAGGAGAGGTGAGGCAGCTACTGGCAGGGCCACACGGCTCTTTCTTCTCCCCAGCCCCACCAGGCTTGCTGCCCTATAAGCACAGGCTCTGAATCTGGGTCTCAGAGGTTCACCATGCACCATGTCATGTGTCACAGGATGGGTCATGCTGCTTTTGTGTCTCAGCTTCCCCAAGGGCAAAAGGAAAATAGTTGTAATACTTACCTTAGAGGTAAGTGCCTGGTGAATGTTAGTGATTTTCTTATCCTTCTGCACCCCCCTCTCCAAAATGCTGGGAAGCCAGGCAAGCTCCCACTTGGAAAAGTACCCTTAAGGTCCAAGCCAGGCAGGTGGTTGGCATGATGGTGACATGGCATACCCTTCCCCTGGAAGGGCTAGCATTGAGCAAGCCAGTGCCCTTGGGGATGGGAGGCCAGAACCTACCCTCAGGCCTGGTCCAACTCACTGCAGATGCAGGCAGCAAGCACCAAAGCAGAGCGGACGGGCCTGCAGAACATGGAGTTGGCACCCGTGCAGCGCAAGATCGAGGCCCGCTCAGCCGAGGACTCCTTCACAGGCTTTGTCCGGACCCTCTACTTTGCTGATACCTACCTGAGGGACAGTGAGTGGCCAGCCTGAAGTCGGGAGCACAGGGGGCACCTCTGGCATGAGGACAGAGGACTTATGGCATAGGGCTGTTTCTGCCTGTTTCCCCTTATGAGCCAGGAGATACCAGAGCCCCTACCTACCTCTTTCCCTCCTCTGGGCCTCCAGGTCAGGTTGCCCTGGCTTCATAACCAGGCTCCATCTCTGTCTAGAAAGATGGCCCCAGGCACATCTTCTAACCTTTTTGGGCCTCAGTTTCCCCCCCTGTAAAATGAGTGAGTGCTTCTAGACTGGCTAGAGAGCTGGAGATGGCATGGTTCCTGCTGGTACACAATGGACATATGGAAGTGTCCACTCCCTGGCTATGTATCCCCCACTGGGTAGGGGTGTCCATGTCATAGCCAAGCGTGAGTCATCCTGGGTTTGGGATCATCTGTGTATAGGCCCTGCATGGTTGTCAGAGAGAGCTTTCCTGGGAGGTAGGCAGGGCTCACAGCGTGGCCATCTCCTTACAATGGAGGACACTGAGGCTTAAAGAAGTTTGCCAGCTTGACTTTAGAGTTCCACAGTGGTCAGTGACAAGATGGACAGAGCCCAAGTTGCCCTGCATCGCCCAACTCTAGATACCCAAACCTTTGCTTCTTGGCAGGCTCCCGCCACTGCCCCTCACTATGGGCTGGCACCAATGGGGGCACCGTTTATGCCTTCTCCCTGCGTGTGCCCCCTGCTGAGCGGAGAATGGATGAGCCAGTGCGGGCGGAACAAGGTGAGTGCTATGCCAGCAGAGCAGAGGGGGCTTGAACTCCCTGGGCTAGGGTGATGTCACCAGCCAGTATGCCCACCACAGCCCCCGTTCCCCCGCCTGCCTCCTCCTTTAGCCAAGGAGATCCAGCTGATGCACCGTGCGCCTGTCGTGGGCATCCTGGTACTTGATGGACACAGCGTGCCCCTTCCCGAGCCCCTGGAAGTGGCCCATGATCTGTCGAAGAGTCCAGACATGCAGGGAAGCCACCAGCTGCTCGTGGTATCAGAGGAACAATTCAAGGTGCCACATGGGCAGCAGCAGGGAACAAGGCTCAACCCCTGTGACCAAATAATGATAGCTGAGACTCAAGGTTTTATGTGGAGGAGTTGTTGGAGGGGCTACAGAAGCATGGGAAAGAGGAGAAAGGGTTTTGGGTGAACCTCATGGGTCAGAGGCAGGGACGCTGAGACAGGATGTGAGTCTGTTGAAGAGACAGAATATCCAAACATGGAAGTCAGTGACCTCATATCCTCCTAGTCCAATCGCAGTGTCTGTGTGTCCAAGAGCTGAGGGACGCTCAGCTCAGTGGGGTTTGCCAGGAGGCTGGGAGGTATCTGCCAGAGGGCAAGGGCCTGGCTACAGCAGTGGGTAGGAGAACCATGGGCTGGCTGTGGCATGCCCATGACTAGATACCCTGTGCCCCCAGGTATTCACACTGCCCAAAGTGAGTGCCAAGCTGAAGCTAAAGCTGACGGCCCTGGAGGGTTCACGGGTACGGAGAGTCGGCGTGGCCCATTTTGGCAGCTGTCGGGCTGAGGACTATGGGGAACACCATCTGGCAGTCCTCACCAACTTGGGCGACATTCAGGTGGTCTCACTGCCCCTGCTCAAGCCCCAGGTGCGATACAGCTGCATCCGCAGGGAGGACGTCAGTGGCATCGCCTCCTGTGTCTTCACCAAATATGGCCAAGGTGTGCAGGCGTGTCCTGGGGCCCCAGAGAGCCAGAGATAGGGGAGGGGTTCCAGAGCTGGAGAGGGAAAAACAATTTAGCATGGGAGCCACTGCCAGGTTGGCTCTGTCCTGGGTGGAGCGCTACGAAGTAAACTCTGTCCTAGTTCCCTAGAAGGGAAGTGATCCCTGTGGGCCCAGGGCCAGGGGCCCTGGGCTGGCCTTACCTGCCAAGCTTCTCTGCTCCCCAGGTTTCTACCTGATCTCACCTTCAGAGTTCGAGCGCTTTTCTCTTTCCACCAAGTGGTTGGTTGAGCCCCGGTGTCTAGTAGATTCAGCCAAAACCAAGAACCACAGCCGCCCCAATGGCAATGGCACAGGCTCCAAGAGGGCCTTGGGCCGAGACAGGTAAGAAGGCAGGGGGCTTTTCCATGGTTTCACCCTCCTCTGCCCTCTTTGAGGCACCCATGGGCACTCAGCTGACTGGCCAAGGTCTCTTCCCCTGTGATCTCAGCAGTCCTCCCTCCCTGCACCTGCCAGTTCAGTACCTCCCAGACCTCTGTTCAGGGAAGGCCAGGCCAGGTGACTTCACCCATTCTCCATGGGACCAAGGTTTCAGAAGCCAGGGCAGGGAGCCTAGTGATAACCAGCACTCACTAGCTCTTCCTCTAATCCCCACAGGAACTCAGGGAGCCAGAGTGATGGAGAGGGTAAGACAGGCCTCTTGGGACTGTTATCTGGGGACATTTATGAATCACACTTGGGCACACCTGGCCAGACCTGGGGAAGGGGGAGGAGGAGGCCAGGTGAGCAGAGAGAATTGGGGCTGGGAATAGACAGCATTTCCTCCAGCTGGGCCTAGGTTTCCAGCACCTCCACTTTGGTAAGGAGAGAGCCAGGCAGGGGGCCCAGGGGAGGGCTGTCTGACCTCTCTGCTTTCCAGAGAAGAAGCCCGGCCCAGTGATGGAGCATGCACTGCTTAATGATGAGAGTGAGTTGGGGATTTGGGGTGGAAGTGGGTGAGGATGGCATGACGGAGGGAAGGATGGGGCAGAACCAAGGGCTTGCCCTGTTAATAAAAGAGTGAAGAGCGTATAGCTGGCCTGGCCCCTTCTGTCCTCACTGGGCCTCTGTTGTCCTGTAGGAGTCCTAAAGGAAATTCAGAGCACACTGGAGGGGGATCGAGGGTAAGTCGCCACAGTGCTGGGAGAGGTATAAGGAGAGCACTGAGAATGAGAGTCCCTGTGAACAGTGACTCCTGTCTTTGTCGCTGCAGGAGCTATGGCAATTGGCGTTCTCACCGAGTGGCCATGGGGTACAGCCTCAGCAATGGGGAAGGTAGGACTCTGGGCACTGTTGAGGAGGGCCTGATTCCCACGAAAGGCCAGGAGGGACAGCCCTGCCCACCCCACATATTACCCTCCCCCCCCAGCCCCAACACATACAAGGCCCTACTGACCTTTGGGGCCATCTCAGCCCTGACACGTGCTCTGAATGTCCAAGAAACCACCATATCTGGGCTCTAGGTAGATGACAGAGACACTCCACCTACCCAAGATGGTCCTGAGCTGCTGTCCTCCCATGTTCTTCAACAGCAGAGTGAGCAAGACAGTGTCCAGGCTGCGAGATGACCACACACTACTGCTGCCCTTTGTGCGTGGCCTGTCCCAGTTGGAGAGGCCTGTGCAATGGGCCAGGCTAGGGGGGCCACAAGCACTCCCGGTCTCCACTCTGCTGCTGCTGCTGCTCCTGACCTCGGGAGAGGAGAGACCCCACCTCTGGGCTGCCCCTCCCGGGCTTTGTCTCAGTCCTTTTGTCCATGTTGCACAGTTTGTATTCCTGTCATCCCCCCCTCCCCTTTTTGTAGTGGGCTGGGTTTTAAATTATAAATTTTAACTGCCTCTGAGTGAAACAGAGTTTTTAATAAACACCTTATTACCTCTTTACTGGACTGGTTCAATGACTTGAATTTTTCAGTTGTGTAGGAATTGTCCATGTTAATAGAAAGCCTTCACCAAATCCTGCCTTCCCCTGGTGCATCCTGGCCCAGGCAGTGCTTAGAGAACCTGCTTTTTAAGCATTTGAATCAGAGCAAACCATGTTTGTGTCTGAGCAGAACTGTGTCTTCTCGCTTTGAAAATAAATGGCAAACATGAACCTTCTTGAGTCAGACTCTTGTTGCAACCAGAGAGCTGGACAGCACCTGCTCCCAGCATATCGAGACTTGTGTGGGTTCCACTGTAAATTTAAGGGGACAGTTCGTTTATCCAGTTAGCTAAACTAACAGAAATGGACAAGTGAAATTAAGTTTCCTGCCAGGAAGCAAAGATTGGAAAATCATGGCGGTAACACAAGCATCTGTGAATCAGAAGTCAATGACTGGGCTTGGGGTGCTGCTCAGTAGTAGAGGCATGCTTAGCACTCACAAGGCCCTGAGTTCAATCTCCAGCATCCCCCACCCCAAAAAAAGACAGTGATAGAGACAGCACTCCCTTGACTGAGGAGTCTTGTGGCTACTGCAGTGGTCTGGCTGATCAGATTAAACAAGTCAACACACATCCCTGAAAATATACAAAGCTTCTTTAAACATGGATACTTCCATGCTCACTAGGTATGAGTTTTACTTCGTGTGCCCTGGGTTTTGAAGTGTTAGCAGATGTCAGTCCTAGAAGACAACCACACAGTGGGAGTGTGCCGAGAATGGGTTATTGCTGGCGTGCACAAATGGAAGGCAATACTTACTGCCTCTTCTCTAGCAGTAAGCTGACACTGAGAGAAGAGCTGGGGTCTTTGCAACAGTCCATGAGAGAGGTGATGGGGGTGGTGAAGTAGAGTCACTGAAAAGTTGGGCTGACAAGGATAGCTGTGCTGGGTAGAAGGTGAGTGGAAGGGACTCCTGCTGACTCCAGAAGCCTCCAGGAAGCAACAGGCAACTTGATTCATGGCTCCTGACTTAAATCTGAGGGTCCTGGACATCCGGAGAGGTGGAAGGCCAAGGAACTAGAGCTCTGTGGTAATCGGCAGCACCTCACATGCATTCTCCAGCTGGGCCTTTGGAACCAGACTTGGTTGACATCCCAGTTTTTTTTTGGTTTTTGTTTTTTTTTTTGGTTTTTTTGGTTTTTTTTTTTTTTTTTTGTATGTGTGAGACTGGGGTTTGAACTCTGAACCTTATGCTTGCTAGTCAGGTGCTCTATCACTTGAGCCATTCCACCAGCTCGATGTCCCACTTTTTGTTTGGTTTTGTTTTTTGTTGGTGGTGCTGGGACTGGAACCCAGGGCCTTGTAGTACTTGAACTACACCCCACACCTTTTGTTTGAATTTTGTTTTTGACAGGATCTTGCTAACTATCCTGGCTGGCCTAGAACTCTCCTCTTGCTTATGCCTCTTGAGTAGATGAGATTCTTGGCATGAAGCACCATCACCACCCTTCTGGCATCCCAGTTCTAACACTCACGAGCTGTGTGCCTCAGTGGTCTTATCCATAAAATGTCCATCTTTGTGCTCTTTAAGTGCTTTCAAGTATTAAATAAACTCATAGAACAGATCCGTGCACATAATAAGCCATAAAGCACTGCTATTTGCTATTCTTACTGCTGTTGGTCCAGGGCAAAACAGCTTTCTCTGTGTTATCTTCATAAAATTCATACCAATAGTGCACACAGCATAGAAGTACAACTCAACAGATCTCTACAAACTGGGGCTGAGGTCATAGCTCAAGCAGTAGAGCTTCAGCCTAGCAAATGTGAGACCCTGAGTTCAAACCCCAATACTATCAATAACAATAATTTAAAAAATCCCCACAAACTGAATAATCAGTGTCACCCACACCATGAGGACACCATGCTGTAGCCTATGCTGCCTGCTCTTGCAACATCTGTAAACAAGAATCCCACTGTGGCTTCTCTTTCATGCCTGGCTGCTTTCACTCAGCATTACATGTCGTTGCTAATAGCTGTACATGGTTCTTAAGACACTCTACTGTGTGAATGTCTCAATCTATGTTCACCTTTTTTTTTTTGGGGGGGGTTGGTAGTACTGGACTTTGAACTCAGGACCTCATGCTTGCTAGGCAGGCACTCTACCACTTGAGCCATAACCCCAACATTCACTTTTTGTGGGATTTACAAACCCTCTGAATCCCATCACTCTTTGCCTCATCAGTGTTGGCAGTGGGGAGTAAACAGTTCCCCTTTAGACAGGCTGTATGACCATGAATTTGTGGTCTTTTTGGACAGCTGACTCTACCCCGTGTAAATTGGCACAACCTCTGTGAAAGAAAATTTGGAAATCCAACTACAAATACACATACCCTATGGTCCAGTAAGTCTAATTGTAGGAACTGGTTCTTCCTGGATATGGATGAAATGATATTTCAGTATTTGTAATTTAAGGAAATTAATTATTTGTAATTTGTTGGTCGCAATTTAAGAGATGAGGCGGCATCTGTTTCCAGCATCTGTTTCAGATGTAAAAATCTATCAGTAAGAAGCTGTTTAGACTCTAGTGCATTAATTTGGTAGAATTCTATGCATCTGAAAAGGAAGAAACGACGTAGGGAGAAGAAGGTCCTAATGTATTATAAAATCTCCAAGTCAAATTGTTGAGTGAATCAAGCAATGAAGACCTGTGAGGTAGATAAGTGTCCACTTGAGCTACAAGGAAAAAATAAGATTAAATTTTCTCTGGACGGATAGCTCTGGAAGGAAATACAGAAATGGGTAGCCTTGGGTGGGTGGGGGAATTGAGTAGCTGAGGGTTAGGAATGGGAAATTTATCTCATGAGTTTTGAACTATGGGGCTGTATTAATTTAAAAATAAGTATAAAAAAAAAAAGTAGTGGAGCTGGAAGCATAGCTCAGTGGTAGAGCACTTGCCTAGCATGTATGAGGCCCTGGGTTTGATCCCAGCATCATAAATAAATTCAAATAACTGATTTAGGGCTAGTGAAGTGGCTCAAGTGGTAGAATGCCTGCCCAGCAAGGGTGAGGCCCTGAGTTCAAGCCCCATGCAGCCAATAAATACAAAAATAATGTAAAAAACACACAATTAGGGATTTAAGGGGTCTGATTTATGAGAAATGGAGGTCCCTCTGTCTCAGCCTCTGTGAAGCCCCCAGGTACAGGAGGGGCCCAGACAGTTTCTCCTATGAGGCAAGGATGAGCATGGACCCCTTAGTCTGGCCCAGTGCCAGGCTGGCTTGGCTGGCAGCGAGTCCCAGCAGGATTGCCCTGTCGACGGCCTTTGTCTGCAGCTTCTCCTCTTTCCCGGTTGCCCTGGCTCCATTGTTGGCCGAGGGGGTCAGGACCCCGCAGCATCCTGCATTATTGATGGTGGTGGATAAGGGGGGAACCTAGGGGAGAGTGGTAGATTTAGCCCCGTAGCCCCTCCAGAGCACAAGAGTGGCGCACAGCTTCGGGTAGTCAAATCCCGGGAAAGAAACAAGGACCAGGACGTCGGGGAAGGCCAGTCTTCTCTTGGACCATCATGGGTGGGAGTAAGGGCAAAGCATCCCAGCATCCGGCGCGACCCCGAAGGCCGGCCTCAGGGGAGCAGGAGTCCGGATCTGCCAGCGCCGACGGCGCACCCAGCCAAGACCACCGACCTGGCCGTGGCAAAGCCCGCCGAGCGAGACCCGCCACGGAGCTCGACACCGCGGGGGACAAGGGGACCGCTGGTGGCCGCAGGGAGCCTACGGCAGAGAGAAACGGCGAGTGCAGAAGTCCAGGGACTGGGCCGCCTCGGGAGGCCCAGGAGAGGCGAGGGAGCACGCATCGTGGGGGACAGGGACCCCTGGAGAGCTGCGAGCCGGGGGACAGCCGTGGGGAGCGCCCGGAGGAGGAGAGCCTCCCAGGAGAAGAGCGGCCCCGCAAGCGCGGCCACCGCAGGAGGAGAGGAAAGGGGAGGGGGCCTTCGACTCCGAGCCTCGGTGGGGACACGTCGGGCGGGGACGGAGGCAGCTCTTGCCCGGATAGCGAAGCCCGGGAGACCCAGAAGAGCACTAGCCAGGACGGTGGGGCCCCGGAGCCAAAGGACACCGGCTGGGATGAGACCAAAACCCAGCCAGAGTCAGCGCTGGCGCCAGAAGAGTGTCTGAGCTGCCACGAAGGCCCCGCCGAGCCCCGAGGAGGGGAAGGGTCGTTGGGGACAGAGCCCCAGGGAGACAGTGAGGATTACGGGATGGATACAGACTCGAGTCCTGAGCTGGCCGGGCATGGATGGCGCCCACGGGAAACCCTAGGAAAAGCAAGCCGGGCCCCTGAGGCCGATGCAAAAGCCACGGCCTCCAGTCCCCTCGAGAGCAGCAACGCGGGCGTCGCCGGGAGCTCGCGGGTTCCTCGGGACTCCGAGTCCGCCCTGGACGCGCAGGACGATGGGTCGCAGTCAGAGACTAAGCCTCAGGGCGCCGAGCCTGGACTAGCCGAGGCATCGACGGCAGGGGCGGTGCAAGTGGCTGCAGGTGCGAGTGAAGCGGGAGCCCGAGAAGCAGAAGGTGCAGGGGACCAAAGGCCAGGGGACCCAGCCCCGCTGGCGGCCATCGTGGTGCTCCGCAGGCTCCGCGCGAGGCCCTCGCCAGAGCCCTCTCCCCAGGCGGCGGGTTCGGGCCGCGTGGGCCTTAAAGCGCGGCTCCTGAGGGTGGCGCAGGCCCTGGGCCTTCTGCGGTGGCTGCGGCTAAGGATCGGTCAACATCCACGCGAGGGGCAGGGGGTGGGGCCGCGGGCGGGCGAGGGGCGGGGCCTTGAGAGGGCCGGCGAGGGGCGGGGCCTCGGAAGGGCAGGCGAGGGGCGGGGCGGTGGGCCCGGGCTGCGGCGCCGTCTAGCGTTGCGCCTGGCGGGCTTAGCCCGGCTTGGGGGACCGTCACGAGCTCCCCCTGGCGGTGGCTCAAGCCCTCCGCAAGTCCCGAATAGCGTAGTCTCCGACCACCCCGAAAACGATGAGGACCCCACTCCGGATCCCAAGTTCGCGGTCGTGTTCCCCAGGATCCATAGGGCGGGGAGGGCGTGGACTAGCAGGAGCTCAGAAGCGTGGGTGGACGCCCCCGCCGGGGAGGGCAGCATTTGGCCTCCTGCAGGGACTGCAGAGGACAGGGAGGGGCGAGAAGCTAGTGAAGAAGGGGCGATGGAGCCCCGCCGTGCCTCCTTCCTCGCCCCGACTCCCCTCGACGGCACCCCACTGGATGAGAACCGCTCCAACAGCGAAGAGGAGCCGGAGACCCTGGAAGCTGAGACCCCGGTGCACTGGGCAAAGGGCTCAGGCCCCCGCGAGGACCCTGGGCTTGGCACCTACGCGTTGCTGCCCCGACTCACGTTGGAGACTCGCCACCCGCAGGAGAGGAGCCCCCGCGGGTCCCGAAGGGAGAGGTGGGAGCCAGAGGATGAGGCCGAGGCGGCCCTGGAGAGGGACCTGGAGCTGAGCCTCGGGCCCGGCCTGGAGATGCCTCCCTTCCCCGATGCTGAGGGCAGGAGTTTCAGCGAGGGCCTGGAAGACACGGAGGACCTGGCTCGGCTGCGGTGAGCGGGTGCACCTCCAAATCGGCCATCGGCTCAGAGTTCCTCGTGCCCCACCCACCCTCATCTTTGGGACTTGTGTAGAGCCCGATTGAGTCCTCAGAAGGGATTTTGCCCCAGGAAAGATTTTCTGGCTATATGGGGCAGGTGAGGGGTGAAAGTCAGTTACCCCTTCCAGGGGCACAAACCTTCCCTCTGGGTCAGAGGTCTAATGCTGTTGGTGACCCAAGCCCCTAATAGAACGGGTAGCTCCCGGCCTTTTTTTTTTTTTTTTTTTGAGGGGAGTTTTTTTTGGGGTTGGAACTCAGGACTTCCAGCTTTCTACATAGGGGCTCTACCATTTGATCACACCCCCACAATCCCTTTTACATCAAGGACTTTTGTTTTGTTTTTTGGTAGGATGGGGCTTAAACTCAGGACTTTGTGCTTGTGAAGCAGGTGCTCTAGCACGTGACTCACACCTCCAATCCATTTTACTCTGGTTATTTTGGAGTTGGGGTGTCAAGAACCATTTGCCCCTGTTGGCCTGGAACCTCGATTCTCCCAATCTCAGCCTCCCAAGTAGCCAGGATTACAGGTGTGAGCCACTGCTGGACTGCTTTAGTTATTTTTTCAGATAGGATCTTGCATTTTTGCCCAGGCAGGCCTCAACTCAATGCTCCAATTTATGCCTCTCAAGTAACTAGGATTACAGCTGTGAACCACCGTGCCTGTCTGGAGTGTTGGGATCACAGGCATGCACTGCCAAGCCCACAGCCCAGACTGATTTTATAGTTAAGACGCTGAGAGGCTGGATGATTTTGCCCCAGGTGCCCCTGAAGCCAGTGGCAGAGCTAGCCCAGGGCCTCCTTCTTTCCCCAAGTCCTCCACCCTCTGCCGTGCTGTCCCCACAGGCTGGTGTGTGACAGCTCAGTGCTATTGTGCCTCAAGAGGAGATTTCACCTGGGCCGCATCTACGTATGGGGGCTGCAGGGAGGGGATGGTGGGCTGAATTTCCTTTTTCCTGGGAACCCAGGGCTCCCAGCATCCCTAGAGCTTCTCCTTCCTCTTGATCCCTAGGCTGGGTGATGAGCCAGTTCTATCTGGGTTCTCCAGAAACAGGATGGGAGGGCTGGGCTGGGGAGCATTGGAGCCCCCCATTTGCACCCCCTGCTCCTTCTCTTTTCCCCAGACCTTCGGAGGGCCCCTCCTGCTCGCTCTGAACCCCCACGAGCCCCTGCCTCTCTTCTCACCTGAGATCTTGGCCAGCTACCATCCCAGCAAAGTCCCCAACACCACCCCGTAGGTGACTTCGCCCCTTTGACCCTGTGCTTCGCTCTCAGGCAGCCGGGCCCCAGCATGTCCCATTGACTGAGGTTCCGGGACCTGTGGCCACATCTGCCTACACTAGGAGCACCCCAGTGCCCATCTCTGGTCACCTTCTTATCTCCCCCTCTTCTTCCCCCAGACACGTCTTTGCCATCATAGCAGCAGCCTATAGCCTGTCTCAGAGCCCTGGGCAGGACCCCTGTGTCCTTCTGGGGTGAGTCCCAACTGCCCTGCTTGCTTGAACTCACAGGCCACCCTGAGGGTCAGTGGGGTGAGGCATGGGGTCTGCATTTGAGGCTCCTGGTCTGGTGCACTGTGGGACAGCAGCTCTGGCCGTCCTCAAGGCCATGCTCCTGAGGTCATCCTGGGTGCCTCTCAAGTGACATTTCTTTCCAGTTGGTCTCCATTGCCCTGGGTTTATTCTCTCCACATTTCTGGGGGTGTCTCCCAGGGTAGCTATCACTTCTAGGTGGCACATTCCCATTACCTGGGTTCAGAGGGACCGTCCCATGTGCCTCTTCTGGAGGCCCTTCCTGCCTCCAGAAGCAGTGGTGCTTCTCTCTCCTGAAGTGGGCATAGTGGCTCAGGGAAGACAGAAGTCACCAAGAAGATGGTACAGTTCCTAAGCAGCCTGGAGCAGAAGCAGACAGGGGACAGACGGTGCCAGGTGAGGACAGGCTGGAGGCTATCTCCCCCAGGGGACAGCTGGCCTTTTCCCAGAAGCTCAAGGGGGATCATCATCCTCCTTTGTGTTTCTGTCGTCTCTTGCTGGGAGCCCCAGGCACTGCCTGCTTCAGGGGTCAGGGGCAGGGCTCTTCTAATGGGACTGACCCCACCATGGGCCTGGCACAGCCAGCAGGCATAGAGAGCTTTCTGTGAGTGGTGAGCACCTCCCCCCATACAGCTGGACGACGTGCTGCCTGTACTCAGCAGTTTTGGTCACGCCAAGACCATCCTGAATGCCAATGCCAGCCGCTTCGGCCTGGTCTTACGCCTCTCCCTTCAGCAGTGAGTGATGGGGGTTCAGGTGGGCACAGTGGCATGTGGGAGCCTGAGGCTACTGCCCTTGGCCCCAGCCTCTGGTGGGCCCATTCGGCGAGGCACGCCCACCTGGTCTCCTGTGCCCATAGGGGGGTCATCAAGGGAGCCTCTGTGTCACATTATCTGCTTGAGACCTCCAGAGTGGTGTTTCAGGTAAGAGCCACCCTCCTGCCTACCCCTTCCCAGCTCCCAGAGTGGGAAAGAGAGAGGGGCTGTGGCCCTAGGTACTGCTCCCCTAAGCCAGCCCTTCTCCCCAAGGCCCAGGCTGAGCGGAGCTTCCATGTTTTTTATGAGCTGCTGGCGGGGTTGGACCTCATGGAACAGGAACAGCTTTCTCTGCAGGGACCAGAAACTTACTACTATCTCAACCAGGTGGGGGCAAGGCCCTGGTGCTGTGGGGGAGAGGGCCCGCCCAGACAAGGGTCTCAGCCAGGGCTCTGAGGGAAGCAGTGGGAGGGTCAGGCCCAGCCCCTCAGCCTGCTGTGTTCTACAGGGCCGAGCCTGCAGCCTCCAGGGCAAGGAGGATACCCAGGACTTTGCAGGGCTGGTGACAGCCCTGCAGGTACTAGGCTTGTCCCCTGAGGATCTGAGTGCAGTCTGGGCTGTGCTGGCCACTGTCCTGCAGCTGGGCAACATATGCTTCTCTCCTTCAGAGGTGGGCGAGGCCCGTGGGCACGCCGGGTGGCCAGTGGTGCTTTGTACGGTCAGGGCAATGACAATAATACAAGCCTCGTATGCAGGAAACTACAAAACCCAGCCTTCCCAAAAGCAGATAGATGAGAAAACTGAGGCTGCGGTGTTTGCATCCTTCCCAGTGCCTATTGCACTCAGCTGCCACCGCTAAGAGCAGCTGGCATGACATGCTTTCTGACTTTGCTCTTATGACAACACTGACCTGAGGGTTCTTGTTTCCCTTTAGCGTTAAGGCAATGGAGGTCTGGGGAGGGAAAGGGACTCACTGGAGATGTCCAACTAATAAAGGAGGAAAGTCAGGACTCTCACTCAGGGCCCTCAGACCCAGAGCCTGGGTCACCATGGCCCAGATCTTCTCGTGTGCTCTCGTCCCTTTGGGTGTCAGGATAGCTGGCTTGACAAAGTAAGGCCCTGCGCCTGCCCAGGGAACTATGTCCAGTCCACAAGCAGATCTCTTGTTGTCCCCCACTCTGTCCAGCGGGAGTCCCAGGAGGTGGCTGCTGTGTGCAGCTGGGCAGAGATCCACACGGCAGCTCGGTTGTTGCAGGTGCCTGCAGAACGCCTGGAGGGGGCTGTCACCAGGAGGGTCATGGTGAGGTCAAGGATCATGAGGAGGTGGGGGAACAGCCTAGATCACTGTAGGCTGGGTGGACGTCTAAACAGGTCATGGGCCTGACGTACCCCTCACGCTTGCTCTGGCCTCCAGGAAACGCCCTATGGCCGGGTCTCAAGATCTCTGCCTGTGGAAAGCGCCATTGATGCCAGGTGGCCCTGGGGTGGGAAGCACCCAGCCAGGCCTGGTGCTCTGCTCCACGTGGCTCACTCACCGTGCCCGCAGGGACGCCCTAGCAAAGGCCCTGTACTCGAGGCTCTTCCGCTGGCTTCTGAGGAGGATCAACACATGGCTGTCCCCACCAGGGAAGGGAGGCAGCATGGGCACCGTCACTCTCGTGGACACCTACGGCTTTGAGGTCATCCCGTGGGGTGGGGCCCAGGATTGGGGTGCCCCTCTCAGTCTGGTGTATTTCTGGGGGGCTTCTGCTCTCACTGAGCCACTTGTGCGCCTGGTCCTCTGCCTTTGCTGGCTCCATCTAAGGCTGTTGAGTGGATGCTGGGCCTTGCTCTGGGGACTTTAATGGTCCAGTGAAGGCTGGCAGGGAGCCTTGGGGACCTCACTCGGCAGAGTGTTATTGAGAGGAGGGCCTCTGCTTCCTTCGCACAGCCCCAGGCCGTGAGCCTTCCTGGCTTCCCTCCAGAAGGGGCTGGAGCTCACTGCAAGCCCCAGAGCCAGACTGTGCTGTCTTCCTGCTGGAGAGCAGGTGCTCAGGAAATTCTGAAGCTTCTAGGTTTGCATCCTGCCAGTCACTAGCTGTGTGACCTCATGCAAGTTAATTAACCTCTCTGAGGTCAGTTCTCACCCGCTGAATAAAGGGATTATGACAGGACCTACCTCATAGGTCCAGAGAGCTGCATGTTCTGGAGGTGCAGACGTCCTTCCCTGCTCCATCCTGTCCTGATGTTGCCTCTGGAGAGTTCTGACTTGCTTGACCTGGCAGATAATCCTGGCAGCCAAGGAATGGGTCCACCCACAGCTTCTCCCACACACCAAGAGGGGAGGGAGGAAGCAGTTGCCCATATCCCCTTTCCAGAAGATTCACCTCCTTAGGGCAGCAGGGAGGGAGAGAGGAATTCTCCTTTGGTCCCTGGATGGGCACTGTTCACTGCCCTGTTTGTCCTGCCCTCCACAGTATGTCCCTAGTGACTGTCCCCTCCCTGAGAGGGGACATGTACATGCATGTGCACTCTTGTGTGTTTAGGGGTGCACAAAGCTATGTGAAGGGGTTCTCTGCTGGGCTTATAGTGGAATGCTGAGCCACACAAAGGAAGGCACATCATCCCTGTAGGAGGAAGGCTGGAAGACTTCCTGGAGGCAGCAACCTGGGTTTCTGCTTAGGAGAATGTGGGAGTCAGATAGCCAGCGAGTTACATAGTAGGAAGAGGCACCATCCAGACCCCAGGATGGCTGGAACAGAACCCTGATGGCTCCCAGTGGTGCTGGAGCAGAGGGGTGGGGGTGTCTGGAAGGAAGCCTGACATGTGGCTGGATCAGGGACAAGGTGAACCACACTCCATGCCAGGGTCCTTTGGCTGTGGCATCAGCCCTGGGGCACCACTCCTCCCTGAGAGGATGGGCAGCAGCCCCTCCTGCCCCCCCTCTGCCTCCCTCACTGTCCACGTGCCCCAGGCGCTGCGGGTGAACAGCCTGGAACAGCTGTGCAACAACCTGGCCAGCGAGCGCCTGCAGCTCTTCTCCAGCCAGATGCTGCTGGCTCAGGAGGAGGTAAGGTAGTTGGGAGAGGACATAGCAGGGGACACGGGACACTGCCCAGCACAGAGGCCACCTTAGTAAAGACAGCAGTGCACCGAGAGCCACACCCTGAAGCTCCCTTTCCACGGGGAGGCTCAGTTGTTCTGAGTATTGGTTTCCTAATCTATAAAATGGGAGGATCACTGTGCACTGGTGGTCACGCCTGTAATCCTAGCTACTCAGGAGGTAGAGATCAGGAGGTTCAAAGCCAACCCGGGCAAATAGTTCTGTGAGACCCTATCTCAAAAAACCCTTCACAAAAATAGGGCTGGTGGAATGGCTCAAGATGAAGGCCCTGAGTTCAAGCCCCAATATCGCAAAAAAAAAAAAAGAAAGAAAGAAAGAAAAAAAATGCCCATCACAAAACAGGGCTGGCAGAGTGGCTCAAGAGGTAGAGCACTTGCCAAACGAGTGTTAGGCCCTGAGTTCAAACCCCAGTACCACAAAAAAAAAAAAAAAAAAAAACTGCTACAGTCCCCCAGGAACATGGGCTGTAAGTGGTCAGTGCTGGCTGTTCCCAGGAGGAGTGTCGGCGGGAGCTGCTGCCCTGGGCACCCATCCCTCAGCCTCCGAGGGAATCCTGCCTGGACCTCCTGGTGGACCAACCTCACAGCCTCCTAAGCATCCTGGATGCCCAGACCTGGCTGTCCCAGGTGAGGGCTGGGCCAGTGACTCCTCTGTTAGATCTGTGCAGCAGGGTGAAGCCAGCAGGACTTCCTGGGGGCCATGAAGGCTACGAGGTTCAGAGACCCTGCCCAGCTCTTCGCACAGCCTGGGAAGGAGCAGCCAGGGGAAAAGCACTGGGCTCCCACGGAACTGGGCTCTCATCCCATCTCTGGGTGATCTTGAGCAAGGTCCCTTGTGTCTGAGATTCGTCAAGTCCTTGTCCCTTTGGGAGCCTGATGGGTGGGCAGTGGGCACTGGGTGGGTTCATGCAGATCCCCTCTGAGTGCAGCCAGGTGTCACCAGGTGTCACTCAGGCCCAGCCTCCTATCAGTGCATCCATCCCACAAATAAGACTACCTTTTTTTCTTTTTATTTTTTTGGTGGCACTGGGGCTTGAATTCAGGGCCTCATGCTTGCAAGGCAGGTGCTCTACCACTTGAGCCACTCCACCAGCCCTTTTTTATGTTGAGTTTTTTTGAGATAGGGTCTTGTGAACTATTTCCCTGGGGCTGGCTTTGAACCACAATCCTCCTGATCTCCGTCTCCTGAGTAGCTGGGATTACAGACATGAGCCACTGATGCTGGACTCACAAATCTCACAAATACTTCTCGATAGCCTTCTTTCCACCGTGCTGCTGCAGTCTCCTCTCTGTCTCTCTCTCTCTCTCCCCCTCTCTACTGGGGATTAAACTCAGGGCCTCAGAGTTCTTGTCCTACTTTACATTTGAATGATCATGTCCAAGTGCAGCTATCTTTACTCTGCATTACACTGAGCTCCATGGGGGCTGGGTCTGTCCAAAAGGTCCTAGTTTTGGGGGAAGGAGGGAAAGGAAAGGAGGAGGGCAAGGGAGGAAGGAAGGAAGGAGGGAGGAGGGAGGGAAGGAAGGAATTTGTGTGACAACTATTCTAAGGATAAAAGATGAGCAAGCGTAGTCTTAGTCCTTTGCCTCTTGGAGTCTTCAGTGTAGCAGGAGAAAAATATTAATTAAAAAAAAAAGAGCCAGGCATCATGGTTCACACCTGTAGTCCCACCCAGCACTTGGGAAGCTGAGGCAGGAAGATCACTTAAACTCTGGGGTTTGAGACCAGCTTGGGCAACACATAGAGATCCTGTCTCAAACAAAAAAGGAGGAGGAGGAGGAGATGGAGAAGAAAGAAAACAAGAGGGGCTGCCGCTCAATGGCAGAGACATGCAAGGCTCTGGGTTCAATCCCCAACACTGAAGCAAATATCAAATCCCCCTATGTGGCTTTGGGGGTGGATTTGTGGGGCCACAGCACATGTGTGGGGCCCAGGCCTCCTTTGGGAATTGAGGCTGGAAGGTGGAGCAGGAATGCTGTGGGAGCAAAATAATGATCCCAAATGTAAGACAAGCCCCATGGTCCTAGTTGGAGGTAATGGCAAAATAATCAAATGTGTAATTATAATAGTTTATTGGTCACTGTAATATTAATATAACATGTAATTGTTAATACATAATAGATCCTGACATACTAAAGTATTACATATTAATGTAACACTTTCCATTAATATGCAACATAACAACATTTACCTTTTTTTTGGCGGCACTGGGATTTGAACTCAGGTCTTCCTGCTTGCTAGGCAAGTGCTCTACCACTTGAGCCACACCTTCAGCCTGACATTCATTTATTAGTACGCATGCATTTTTTAAATTCCTTACTAGATACATAATGTGTGAGCATAAAACATTCTATAAAGTTTTATTAAAATGTGACACAAAGTTGAGCACGGTAGCTCATGCTTGTAATTCCAGGACTGGTGTTTAGAGACCAGTCCTGGCAAAAATCAAGATCCCATCGAAATCAATGGCTGAGTATGGTAGTTCACACTGTAATCCCAACTACACAGAAGCATAAATAGGAGGCTTGAGTCCCCTTTAAGTCTGTGTTACCTGGCCCTTGTCCAGCCTGAGGTGGGTGTGGCCCTGGAATTGTGAGAGCTCATTTGCGTGAGCAGGAAGGCTGAAGTTTCATCCTTGAGTGTTTGCTCTCTGCTGCGTAAAATAACCTCTCACCTGTGTTACATGTTGAAAGAGACCCTTAAAGACTTGGTTAGAGGCTGGAATTTTGGGGACCTTACTCCCAGAGATGATAGCAACCTCTGTCTTAAAGCCCCAGGACCCCATTTCCTCTCACCTCCATCCCACATCCTCCCAGCCTCTTCCGTGAGCCTCCCAGTCTGGGGCTGGCTGAGGCGACTCCTGGGCAAGAGGCTACCAAGACTTTCTCAAATAGTACTTGGTTGTTTAAAATGAGGACATTAAGTCACTGAGAGGGGGAGGAAAAGAGAGAGAAAGAGAGAGAAACCCTTTATTAGGACTCCAATACGGAGTGGCTTTCCATCTGAGGGAGAAGTTATTTTGGGGACAAAAATCAAGCTCCCCTCTGTTCAAGGTGGGAGGTGCTGGGGTCACAGGGACAGACCGCTGTCCAGGCGGGGAGTGGCACGTACAATGCTTAAGGGAAGTGTGACTTGTCTCCTTATCAGGCCACGGACCACACCTTCCTCCAGAAGTGCCACTATCACCATGGTGACAACCCGAGCTACACCAAACCCCAGCTGCCCCTTCCTATCTTCATGGTGCAGCACTTTGCTGGACTGTCACCTACCAGGTATCTGATCTCGGGGACAGACTGCAGGGTGAATCAGTGAGGCAAAATGACCTTAGTGTCCCTCCCAAGCTGAGTCACCTACAGGTGAGAGAAGTGACTAAGGGGAGGTCCCTTTCGAGGTGTGACTGTGGGTCCCTAGATGGGCCACAGGCCCCACCCACTTCGGAGTAAGACCGATTTCTGTCTGAGGATTATGGGGTGGAGGAGTCAAAGCCTTGGGAACCTCCAGACACAGTGGACAGACCAGGAGCCTGGGAACTGGGTCTGAGTACCCTCACAATTTACTTTGCCTTCTGGGCCTCCCTTTTCTCATCTGTAAAATGGCCACAGAAATCTGTCCTACAACAGTGTAGGAGGATTAAGTTCAGTAATCCTGGCTCCTGGTAGGTGCTTATTAAATGGACTCACTTAATAAGTTTCACGTCTGCCAGGGAGAACAAACACCTGACCCAGGAGGAGAGCTGCTGAGGGGAGGGGGCCTGCTCAATAAGGGAAGGACCATGTGGTGGATTTGAGATAGAGAGAGTCATGGAAGGCTCCCTGGAGGAGGTAGCATGCTGTGATTGTAGAGGACACCTCACCCCGCTCCCCGAAAGAGGGAAGAGATACAAGGAGTTGGCAAAAAGAAAATCATGGGAGCTGGAGAGGTAGCTCAGTGGTAGAAAGCTTGCCTAGCACATGTGAGGCCCTGTGTTCAATTCCCAGCACCAAGAAAAATCCAAAATATTAGACTGAATATCAGCCTTAATACGGTCAGTTCCTGCCTAACTGGGAAAAATAATGCAATTCCTGTCAAAACCCCAGTGGTACCAGGCATGGTGATGCACATCTGTAATCCCAGCACTTGGGAGACTGAGGCAGGAGGATCTCAAGTTCAAGGTCAGCCTGAGCTGAACAACAAGACCCTGTCTCAAAAAAAATAAGAGGTGGGACTGTAGCTCTGTGTGTGCACAAGGCCGTGGGTTCAATCCCCAGCACTGCAAATTAAGCAACTAAAAATGGTGAGGATGGGCTGGAGGTGTGGCTCAGGTGGCAGAGCACCTGCTTTGAAAGTGTGAAGCCCTGAGTTCAAACCCCAGTCCCACCAAAAAAAAAAAAAAATGGTGGGGAATGAGTTTTGATAAAATTATTCTAGGTTTTCACTGGAAAAGAAACGCAAGGGGTGATCAATAAAATATTGAAAAAGCAGAAGAAGAGGAGGCATTTGCTCTACTAGATAGGAAACCATGTCCTAAAGCCACCAGATGGTTTTGACAAGGAGTGGGGAGATGGGTGGAAAGAAATAGCAAATCCAGTAGGCGGCCCTAGGTGGGTAAGAGGCTGGGCTCACAACAGGGTGGTCTTTCACAACACTCGCCTACACCTGACCTGGCTTTGCCTGGCTCCCCCCACCCCGCTTCCCACATCCCATGTCCCATGTCCTGCTTGCAGGCCCACAAGTTTTTACACAGGAACCGGGATCACCTGGACCCCGCCGTGGTGGAGATGCTCGGTCAAAGCCAGCTGCAGGTGCTCTGGCAGCCCTCCCGGTTGCCTGTACATCTGCCCCCATCCTGTCCTTGTCCCCCTATACTCTTACCCAAGGGGCTGGTCCCAGGCACCCCGGACAGTGGGCTAAGCATGCCAGGGTCTGGATGCCTGCCTGCTCCTCAAGAGTTGGCAGCAGCTGGGGGAGGGGTAGGCAGGCCAGAGATGGGCATGGGCTCAGTCCCCTCTTTGCCCTGCAGCTGGTGGGCAGCCTGTTCCAGGGAGCAGAGTCCCTGGCGGAGAGAGGGCAAGGCAAACCCACACTGGCCTCTCGCTTTCGGCAGTCCTTGGGGGACCTCCTAGCACAGCTGGGCAGGTAAGAATGTTGTCCCCTCATGGGACCCTAGGGAGCTGGATGAGGGGGCTGGTCTGTGCTCAGTGACCTTTCTCCCCCTCCCACGCAGCAGGAGTCGCCTCTACTGCATCCAGTGCATCAACCCCAACCCTGGAAAGGTGACCCCCCCCCATGACCCTCACCAGGTCCTGGAACTCTTTCGTACCCTGCCCTGCTCGGTCCCTCACCCTCAGTCCTAAACCCCTTGACTCCACTTCTCGCTGGTTCTGTCTCTGGCCACAGCTCCCAGGCCTCTTCGATGTGGGGCACGTGGCAGAGCAGCTGCACCAGGCCGGTGTCCTGGAGGCTGTGCGCACCCGCAGCGCCCACTTCCCTGTGCGCATGCCCTTCCAGGCTTTCCTGGCCAGGTAGGGCCCCAGGGTGAGGCTCTCTCCTGGGGGAGTGGGTCCCACTTTTCTCAGGACCCCAGGCCTGGCTTCCAGTCCTCCTGCCTTCTTTTTCTTCTTTCTCTCTCTCTCTACTCACCGCTGCTCCTCCATCTAGCAAGCCCCTTGGGTATCAGTGCCCTGGCTGAGACCAGGTGGGGCACTGCCACCCTGGACACGGGAGGTGTTCAGGAAATGTTGACAGAAGTCATGAGATGGGGAGTGAAGAGAACAGAGCAGAACCTTGCAGAGGGGAGGAGGGCAGGCCGATGACACTGGGGCAGAAGACACTGGGGCAGATGACACTGCGGCAGCCATGGGGAGCAGCCAGTTATCATGTCACAGCGAGGAGAAGGGCTGTGCTTGGGGAAGCTTCGAAGAAAGCTGCTGACTCCATGTTGTTGTTGGCCTGTTTGGCCTTGGCTAGGAGCTGCACGGTGTCCTGGAAACCCTCTGAAGGGCCACCTCACCTGGGTCCTAGCAGCCCCTTTCCTGTGATGGCTTTGGCCTGGGGACAGCCTGGCTGAGGGGCCGAGCCCAAGGTGTTTGTGTCCTTGAGCCAGCAGCTGGGAAGGCCAGACAGGGAAGACTCTGTCTCTGCCCTTCTGGACACTTACCAGCCACAGCAATTGTCACTTTGTCCAGGAAGCTCTGAGCCCCAGCCAAGGCTGGGTGGGGGGAGATTGGGGTGCACTTGTCCTCCCAGCCCCTACTGGGTCTATGGCCTGCCCCTGCTGTTCTCTGCCCCCCTTCTTCCACAGTCAGGCCTTGAGACCCATGTGTTGGGTGTGCTGGACACCCAGGACAGATGGAAGCCACAAGGTCATGTTCCTGTCACTCCCACTGCCCACAACAGGGCTTGTGGCACCATCAGAGGCCCTCTGCCCAGTTCACTGAGCACTTGACCTTAATAGACCTTCCCAAATTGAATGATCCTGAAACTAAGATGTCAAACAAGTCTTTGCTGTGCTGACCTTGGCTCTGTGTCCCTGGGACAGGTTCCGAACCCTAGGGACAGAGGAACAGGAAGATCCCTCTGACCGGGAGAAGTGTGGTGCCATCCTCAGCCAGGTGTTGGGGGCTGGGTCACGGTTCTATCACCTTGGAGTCACTCAGGTGGGTGCCTGTGTCCACACATACAGGACAGATGGAGGGCGGATGGAGTAAGGCTGGGTGGCTGGCTGTCCTGGGCACCCCAGGGTAGACTGTGCGGCTGGAAGGGAGGGGGCTGAGACCAGAGGAGAAGAGCAGGCAGGCCCCGACCCCCATGTCTGGCCTCTGTCCACAGGTCCTGCTGCGGGAACAGGGCAGGCAGCAGCTGGAGCAGCTCTGGGCCCAGCGGCGCTCCCAGGCCCTGCTCACCCTGCACCGCGGCCTCCGTGCCTGCATCTCCCGCCAACGCCTCCGCCTCCTGGCCCGGATGCAGGCTCGTGTGCGTGGACTCCAGGCCAGGTGGGCAGGTGCTGGAGCCAAGGGCTGAAGTGGGTGGGTGAAACCGTGGGCAACTCCCCAAGGTGGTGGGGCAGAGTTGGGGAGTTGGGAGTCTCAAGGCCACCAGTGCCATCCCTCCAGCTCTGAACTCTCCTTGACTGCATTCCTACTAGTACCCACGTGGCCTCTGCTGAATCCCCCAGACCCCAAAAGCTCATTACTGCTGGGGCCACCTGAACCTGCTGTTCTGACTCCTTGATCGCTTCTCTTCTGGTCTGTTCTCCAATCTGCAATAAGAACCATCCTTTCACAGTAAAAGTCAGGTTGTGTCAGGTCAGCCTTGATTTCAGCCTGACTTTTATACTTTTGAACTTCTCGGTCCTATAACACTATCTTTCCTAGCCAGTTCTTACTAATCTCATCAACTCCTGTTGAACCTTAACAGCTGACTTCACTCATTCATCCAACAACCGCTAGCTGGCCACGGGCTCCATCTAACCTGGCCAGATGCTGATGACAGGATGAAGGTGGCAAGGGTGGTACTTGCCAGGCTAGTTGGGGAGTTAGACTCAGACAGTAAACCAGACACTGATCATCCCAAGGACTGAGGATAAAGGGAAGACTGCCATGGTGAAGAACACCAGAGACGCTAGTTCCAAAAACTCAGTACCCACTGAGCAGTAACTTCCTATCCCCACCACCTGGCCCTTCCAATGGACTTTGGATTTGCCTATTTTGGATGTTTCATGTCAGTCAACTTATATAATTTTTCCTTTTTTAGTTTACTTTACTAGTTTCTTTTACTTAGCATAATGTTTTCAAAGTTCGTCCGTGTTGTAGCATGTATCAGAACTTTCTTTTCATGGCTCAATAATATTCCATCAGATGGGTTGACTACGTATTATTTACCTGTTCACCTGTCAATGGGTATTTGGGATGTTTTGTTGTTTGTAAGTATGGGTGTACAAGCATCTGTGCTAGTCTTTTATTTCAAATGTCTAGAGCCCGTACTTAGAAGTGAATTTTTTTTTTTTTTTGGTGGTGGTACTGGGATTTTTTGAACTCAGGGCCTTAAACTTGTTAGGCAGCTGCTCTACTGCTTGAGCCACACCCATAGTCCCTTTTGCTTGGTTATTCTTGAGATAGGGCTTTTGTCCAGGCCAGCCTGGACAATTTTCTTACTTACATTTCCTGCATAGCTGGATGACAGGTGTGTTTTACCATGCCCAACTCCTTTTGTTGAGATGGAAGCGGTCTTTCTAACTTTTTGCCTGAGCTGGTCTTGAACCGCCATCCTCCTATCTCTGCCTCTTGAGTAGCTGGGATTACAGACATGAGCCACCATGCCTGGCCTTATGCTTGTCTTTTTTGAGAACCATCAAGCCGTTTCCCGCAGTGACTGCCTCAGTTCATAATTCTACTGGTGGTGTATATCTACATCCTTGCCAATACTTGCTATTTCCTGTTTTTAAAACTGTAGCCACCGAGTGAGTGTGAAATGGGATCTCATGGTTTTGATTTGCATTTCTCTGGTGACTAGAGAAATGAACACATTTCACATGCTGCTTAGCCATTGTGGAAGTGTCTGTTGAGGTCCTCGGCCCGGTTTAATTGGGTTGTCTGTGGCTGGGCCCTAGGAGTGCCTTACAGTTTCTGGCTAGTAAGCCACTATCACACGTCATGCAAATGGCTTCCTATCCTGTGGGCTGTCTTCTCTCCCTCTCTACAGTGTCCTTTTGTGCATGAACATTGTAGATTCATTTTTTAAATTTCTTTTATTCATATGTGCATACAATGCTTGGGTCATTTCTTCCCCCATTCCCCCACCCCCTCCCTCTCCCCCTGCCCTCTCCCTCTCCCCCCACCCCCTCACTACCCGGCAGAAACTATTTTGCCCTTATCTCTAATTTTGTTGAAGAGAGAGTATAAGCAATAATAGGAAGAACCAAGGGTTTTGCTAGTTGAGATAAGGATAGCTATACAGGAGTTGACTTGAATTGATTTCCTATGTGTGTGTGTTACCTTCTAAGTTAATTCTTCTTGAACTAACCTTTTCTCTAGTTCCTGGTTCCCTTTTCCTATTGGCCTCTGTCACTTTAAAGTTTCTGCATTAGTTCCTTTGCATTGAGGACATCAAATGCTATCTTGGTTTTTTTGGGTTTCTTGCCTATCTTCATTCCTCCCTGTGTGCTCAAAAATATGGAACGCTTCACGAATTTCATGTCATCCTTGCACAGGGCCATGCTAATCTTCTCTGTATTTGTTCCAATTTTAGTATGTGTGCTGCCGAAGCTAGCACTGTAGATTCATTTATTTATCTTTGTGGTGCTAGGAATAAATCCAGGGCCTCACGCCTTGTAGGAAGTGCTCTATCACTGAACTACATCTCTAGCTGTTTAGGTGCATTTTTAGAGGTTGTTTTTGTTTGGCAGCACTGGAGTTTGAACTCAGGGCCTCATGCTTGCTAGCGGGTGCTCTATCACTTGAGCCCCCAGACCTTAAATGTTTATCCTGCCCAGACTCGTTCTTTGATGAACCTGGTCCTGTCATAGCAGAAAGATTCTCAAAGATATCTACCTGCAGCTTCTCTCTTGTAG